GTGAGGGTTGGGCAGGCGCTAAGTAAGCATTCACTGCCATTAACGTCAACAATCTTGTACAGCACTATATAAATTATGCAGCAGTATTTTGTCATTCAATAAAGTAGTGTTGTTTATGTACTTCGGGTAAACACGATGAAGCTTTTGTTGCCTGTTTACTGTTGATAATAGGGACAGAAAAAGTATGAACATGCGTCAGAGCAGTTTGAGGCTTAGAGGAAGACAAACAGAAATGACTTGTTACTTCCGGGTATCTTGCGGCGGTGATTGGCTGATGACGCCATACATAGACACAGGAGTGGAAATGATAAATTCAGGTTTCAGGAAGTCTGCCTGTGATAGACCTATAAGCCTGTGAATGTTAAATAAAACATCGAAAATTTTACTTCAAATGTGACTATCTTTTTTAACTGTCTGTTGAAAAAGGCTCGCTGACACAAACTGTAACGTGTCTTTAGTTGTATTTTGGAAATGACCCGTTCGAATCCCGGCCGTGTTACCGACTATCCAAGCTGTATAATTTTGAGGTTTCGTTTGGATAACGAACGGTTTGTTTCAAGCTTAACGCCTCTGGCTTGTAATGGAAAGTAAGAGGTTCAGTAGTCAGGCAGGAAATTCGAATAATCCATTGGGGTATTTGTGGTTTATTTCCGTCCCTCCAGGCAATTACTGGACTGTTACCTCAAAAAGGACGTCACCAATTCCTTCCATATCCTTTCCAATTCATTGCCCACTAAACTTGACTACCAATCGACACTATAGATGTCTCATCATCAGAAGATGACGTGAGCCTTTATGTTATCGTCACAAAATATACCCAGGCAACACAGACGCCTGGCAACAACAAAATTGGCCACAACTTGAAATCAAGATACGAGCAATACTACAAAATTGGGAACAAGTACCGCAAGACACATCATATCTTAATAGAAAACAAATACTCGACCAACTAGTTTGAGCCAAAAATTACACACGTACTGACCATACTCCAACCCACCACTACATTCCTGGACACAATAGACAAACTGGTAGTCAAATTCACATGGCAGGGAAACACTGGAGACATCCTTACTTCGTATATGGAAGACCGGAAGAGGGACGAATAGACGTGCACCTCCTCCCAACCCGCATTAAAACCATTCGCTTCAACTTTTTGCGAAAGTTTCTAACCAGAAAAACAGAGAGAATGCGTGGTACTTCCAAGCAAACAATATCAGGATGTATGCCCCAGGTGTACACGCTGAAGCCGTGCTCAAACTGAATCTGAACCCAGCGCGCTTTCCCAGGATGACACCCTTCTACGCCAGCGCACTCGAAGCCTGGAACGGTACTTCCAAGCGAATATCAGGATGTATGAACCAGGCCTAAACGCAGAAGCCGTTCTCAAACTGAACATGAACCCAGCGCGCTTTCTCAGACTGACACCCTTCTACGCCAGCGCACTCGAAGCCTCGCACGGTACTTCCAAGCACACAACATCAGGAAGTATGCCCGAGGCCTACACGCAGAAGCCGTGCTCAAACTGAACGTGGACCCAGCGCGCTTTCCCAGACTGACACCCGTCCTCGCCAGCGCACTCGAAGCCTGGCACGGTACTTCCAAGCAAACAACATCAGGATGTATGCCCCAGGCCTACACGCAGAAGCCGTGCTCAAACTGAACCTGAACCCAGCGCGCTTTCTCAGTCTGACACATTTCTACGCCAGCGCACTCGAAGCCTGCCACGGATTTGACAGATTGTTATCCCCAACCTACAGTCCCTTGAAGACCAAAGGCACATTCCCTTGCGCGACTCCACCCTCATGACCCCACATATTTCCGGGCACAAAGTTGTGTTTGACGAAGCTTGGAATGTTCTAAATACGTATAACCTACGTAGGAGACCTCATCACGGAGAATGGCCACTGGAAGGAACTAAAATACATAGACACAACACACTGTACCCAACCGACAACCCGTAGACTGGCAACCAACCTACGGAAAGCAGAAGCCTTTTCCCGCCTCAGTTACCTAAACCTTTCGCTGACGATCACTTCCTTAACACCAACCCCCATCTCTTACGTAATAAAACAACCCAACGGCCAACTGACTCCCCTCCCCATACTCAAACGCAGGGCATACAACCAATGGCACCTGGGGAACACCAGTGGAAAGCAATATACCACCACCCCATCATGAGCAAAGACGGCGACTTCTCATGGAGTATACCACATAATAAGATAGCCGGAGCGCAACAGCTGCACTAATTGGGTAAGAGAGAGACACCAGACTGCCCCTGGTGCCCATGCACAACACGAAAAACGGATCACACGATCTTCGATTGCTTCACAGTCACAGTGATCAAAAGATCTCAATGTAGCCAGCAGAGAGTAACGAGTTAGCCAGCAACCAGACAGTTGTATTATGGCATTTGCAGTCTAGCATTTGTGATACTGCAGATAGCAGTAATTGTGAGATTGTAATTTGTGTGATTGTAAGAGCGAATGTGGAACAAAATTTGCTATATCCACTAAGGCGTGAAGTTGTTTGTCGGATTATACACCCAACACGTGACAATATGTTATTTCATCTTATTTTATCTTCTTTCGTTTATATGTTGTGTTGCAAAAATCAAAGTTATTATTAATTAATTTTTGTTAAATAAACTATAATTAAAAATCCATCCATCCGTCCGTCCGTCCATCCGTCCTTCCGTCCGTCCTTCCATCCGTCCTTCCATCCATCCATCCATCCATCCATCCATCCATCCATCTATAGCCCTTGTGAACTTTTGCCGTTTTTTTCAGTTTAAACTAGTATCAAGGTCGCTAACTACACACAGAACAACGCAAAGAGAATAAACGCCCATAGTCATCCATATCTCGAGTTGGATTCGAACTAACGATCCCAGTGTTCGAACGAGCGAAGATAGTTCATGGCTTAGAACGCGTGGAGGCCGCGCCTTATCTCAAGAGGTTAGTCGCTGAGTTCCCACTGCTGCGACCCGGGTTCGAGCCCCGTTCTTCTCATGTGAGATTTATGGTGGACAAAGTGGTACTGGGGCAGTTTGTCTCCGAGTACTTGGGTTTATATTGCCAATCTTTATTCCACCATTTACTCCACAGTCATCATCATCATCATCATCTATCATGTTGTACTGTTAAAATGGTAAAGTAGTGGCCGCAGGACCTAGTATTGCTCGTAATGCAAACGTATTAAAGAAAAGCAGTGGCACGCACACAGAGAGCCTGTTCAAAATAACACGCGAGTTGTGCTGAAAGCAAGAGGTAGCCACTGTGGCACATATAAGCATAGAGCAAGTATCTCTGTGCTTTGGTTTTTAAATTCTAAATTTAAATTTTAAATATTAAAGCTAAATGAGAATTTAAACTTTTAAACCAATCGACGTCTGAATATTCTTAAAACACAATTGAAAAATGGACAAGTGGAATTTTGGAATATCGGGTGCCGATTGACGACAGAAAATTAACAATTGAAAATCTGGAATTTAAATATTAATATTGAATGCAGTGTGACAGCTACGTGAAGTGAAATTCACCTGATGATGGCCGATTACGGCCGAAACATGTAGTGTGAAAGAAGGGGGGCAAGAACCACAATAAAGTGTTGCAGTTATGAAGAAGTTTGTATTATACTAGGTGTGTCCCAAAAGTCATGAAATATATTTCTTTCCCGCTCTCTTACTGGTCGGAGCCGGATGGAACCGGTTGGGTTATGGGTGGAGGCCTTTAGCTTCACAGCGCGCCCAAGGTCAGTCTGCTCGAGCATTGGAGGCGTCAGTATCGCTGATTTAGTGCACCTGTGTTTTGTGTCCACGTGACGGCGCGCGATGGCGGATATTTTCGAACAACGTTGGGCGGTCAAGTTCTGCACAAAGCTAAAAAAAAAGCTGCCGAAACTCACGAACTGCTCAAGTAAGCCTACGGGGAGTCTGCTCTATCATATGGCACACCTCGGCTACCCCGAAACCAAAGAAGGAAAAGATGAGCAAATCCAAAGTGGAAACAATGCTCATCGTCTTTTTTGACGCCAAGGGTGTGGTCCACAAAGAGTTTTTACGCCAAGGACAGACCGTCAACGCTCCCTACTACGTGGACGTTCTAGAAAGATTAAGGAAAAGGGTCATCCGCCTGCAAAAAGACATCGCCGCTAACTGGCGGCTGCATCATGACAATGCGCCCAGCCACACGTCTCTGCTCGTCCGTGAGTTCCTGGCGAAGCACCACGTGGCAACGCTGCTGCAGCCACCCTACAGCCCCGACCTAGCTCCGGCCCACTTCTGTTTGTTCCCGAGGATCAAGACTGCACTAAAAGGGCATCGTTTTGAAAGCATTCAGGCTATCCAAGCGGCCGTGACAACAGCTTTAAATGAGGTTCCCGTCGAGGCCTTTGAGGGGGCGTACCGGGCATGGGAGAGTCGGTGGGAAAAAAATGTAGATTCTCATGGACAGTACTTTGAAGAATATTAACACTTTGTACCGATATCATCAATAAATTTAAAATATATATATTTCATGAATTTTGGGGAACACCTTGTACATATAGAAGAACAAGGGACCTGTTAAAATTAAACAGATCAGTTCAGATGGGTGGAAGGATTACTTACTGGACACTGCCACCTAAAAGGGCACCTTTCCAAACTGGGACTGACAGGCGGCCCAACTTGTGAAAGGTGCCTACAAGAAGATGAATCAGCGACACACTTCTTATGTAATTGTGAGGCTGTAGCTTACCTAAGATATCGCGACCTGGGTCAGTACTTCATGGAACCAAGTGACTTTTATAACGCCCGATAAATGAAGTCCTACATATCATTCGAAGTGTAGGATTAATAAAGTGTTAATCCAAGGAGGAAGCACAGTAGATCATTGAAGGTTTCGGTGGAAAGGCTGGTTTTTATGGCTCAACCCTCGTATTCATACAAATACTCACATTGATTATGGTAATGCAACATTTCAAAACGAACACATTAGAGCAAATAAATATATGTGTCAACTTACCTGTGAACCTGGCAGTGTTTCGAAGAGAAATATGTTGGTCCCTTTTGCCTTCAGGTATTTATAGCGCGGTTCAGATTTTTGTTACGTTTTTATCAAAAACAATATCCCATTTTTTCTTATGCATGAACAATATTGCATGCACCTCTTTTGTTCAAGTACGTAAACATCATTTGTTCTAATTTTTTAGGATAAATATATTTGGTAAGAAAACACTTAAGTGAGTAAGTAGTTAACCAATTTGACTATGCATAAATAAATAACCTAATTGTTTCAATTCCTTAAGTGGTTCATTTCACAAGACAAGGCCACGCTTATTCCATTAGAGAGATCGTTGCCAAAGTCCTTAGAGTAAATAATTTGCATGACTATCCAGCTGCGCCACGATGGATAGAGTTTGGTGTAATAATTATAATTTAATGACAATAACTGTCAACCGTAGGTAGTGTCGTTGAATGGAAAATCCCTCATTTCGACATACATGTTGTGACATGATGCCCATTAGCCGGTTACGAGTCGCTAAAAACATTCCCACAAGACAAAGTGAAGCGTCATTATGAGGACATCCATTGCAAGGTAACGGAGAAGAAAATATACTTTCTTGGCAAAAGAAGATGGTGTTTTCTGTGGGGTGTGTGTCGAGGAGATATCAGTGGGCACAGTCAGAACAAATGCTTCATGTTGGATATATTTTCTCCGAAATTCTTGAATGCTCTACTTGAATTACGAGTATGCTTGATTATTTCCAAAGATTTGGATAACTAAGATTCCATGTTTTAATTTTTACGAGTTTCCATCTTTGGAGCTACTTAAAGGATATGGTATAGAGCAACACGCCACATACATTGGAGGAGTTAAATACCAATGTAGAACCTGAGATTTAACAAATAACTCCTTAAGTAATATGTAATGTCTCTTTAAAGATGGCGAAATATTCATGCTTGCATTTAGAAAGAAGAGGAATATTAGAAGATTTTCTGTGCCTGTAAGATTCTTACATTCATTTGTACCTCCCCTGTAACTAATTTGTGTTAAGAAGGTTATATTGCAACTTAGGCCGAGGTTCTTTGGATCACCCAGTTTGTCGCACTAGCCACTTGCTGCCAATCTGTTATGAACTCGAGAACCCTCACATTAAAGGCACTTACTTTCAGCCCTAACGCGTGTACATGTGGTTCTTACTTTAAATAGATTTATTCATAAAAACAAACATAACTGAAATGGCAACAGGGGATTCTCACTGGGAATGTAGGCCATGGATTAGAAGGTCATAAGAAAATTCTATGTCCTTTCATGTAACAAGGAAATGTCGACATGTCCATTTCATATGTAAGTGGACAGGTTAACCTGTTTACGTGCTTTGTATCCATATCTAGAGGGAGTGGGGTCTTCCATTTATCAGTTCTACTACAATTTTTGCCAAAGAACTGTCAATGATATTTTAAACTTCAAAACAATTTCATGACCAATTAATATGTAGAGAATGACAACTTTTCCTACAATTTTTCAACAATTCTGATCTAAAGAACCTAGTCACAAATATAGATTTTTTTACGTTAAATGAAGCACGTATCATGTCTGAATGTTTCAACGATTATCTGATGGTTCGCTGTGTCGCCATATTTGTAATTATTAACGTAAAATTACCGTTGGTAAGAAATCTACAGTTCTGCTTGTAATTTCTGCTTAACGATTTCACATATTAGTAAATAAAAAATTCGCGCAGACACCATGGTATAATTTTACATTGTGTAACACCACTGCCTTGATTGAAATTGCTTATATTAGTGATATCTGTTACCACAACAGATTTGAGGGGTATATATTAACGATACTCATGTCAGCCCTGCCTGACAATTTCGCACAGACGCCATGTTTCATTTCTTAATGACAGGAAATAAAAAGAAAACAAATGTTGGTAGCCCATTGTGGCATGACATCTGTAATATGTTCAATGAAAACCCGTCAATTGACTTAAAGTCATTAGGTATGAACTGAAACCAAGATACAGACAGGATGATGCTAAAGCACATGTCTCATTTTAAAATGAAAAAATTGTATTGAGTAAGGAGCGATAAATAATGTTGCAGCTACGTACTGCCGCCTGAAACTGTATACGCCATGATATGTTCGTTTCAGATGCGTTTATATGCATTTAACAGCAGTTTGAGAAATGTAGCAATAGCAGTAACATATTGTGAAGGTTTTAGAATGACTATGACGGCGGTTGGATTTATAATTTCAGTTATTGAACCCTTACATCTCAGTGACTACAAGTAATTATAACAGTTCCACTAATTCACACACTTTACACTTCACTAGAGCATACACCTAAGTCTTCTCAGCCTGCTGTGTCTTTACCAGTCTCCTGGTAACGGCTTTAAACATCAGACGTTCCACTTTCTCTGGGTTCCCGAATTGTTCCCGTCCTCAGCTACAGTAATTCTAGACTGAGTGACTAACTATGAGACTGTCTGACTGACTGACTAACTGACTGACTGGCTGATTAAGTCAAAGACAGATTTTCTTTACGACAGCGGTTTACTGCCAATAATTTCCCAATCTGTTGGCCTTAGCGGCAGGCCCTTGGGACCCACGACCAAAGATTTCTTTCTTGCAACTGAACGCTTGCGGTCATTGTTTTTATGTAACATCTTCTCTGACTAGAAGACGGGTCTATCTCAGTCTTGAGTCTTATGTTACGACCGACGGTCATTCGGCCAGTCTGTCTTGGAATAAAGCACCCACCTGGGGCTTACGACGATATTTTTATTACTGTGAGACAGTTGCGGATTTGTTGATGTGGGGCCCTTTCTCTGACTAGTTGACGAGTCTCGTTTTAGTTGCCGCTGATCCTCTCCATCGCAGTCACTCTCGGGACCCTCGGGACGGAGGCACTTGGGACTCGTAACCACATTGCACTGTCTCGGATTCGAGACATTATTTTTGTCGCCTCCTTCGACCCGCAGAGCTAGGGTGGAGGTATTGGATCCCGCCTTCACGAGAGGGTTTTCTCTGGGGTTATCTCTGGACTTGTCTCGGCGCTGACCGCGTAGAAATTTCCACTTCCAACTATGTTTGAATCCAGTTAATGCCGTGGAATTCTTGCTTTCGTGTCTTTTGCGGAGACCGTTATTTATTAGAGGCAGTTGTATGCTTGCTTATTTCGCCGTCGGTGACTAGCAATGGGTCTACATGTCACAATAGTGTATTGTCTTTGTGATGTGATACCGTGTAACCTGTTAGATCGTTACCGCCGTCACATTCCAGATGGCAGTGATTCTCATAGTTTCCACAGTGAGAACATTGCACCTCTCGTCATTCAGCCCTGTCTTCTCAACTGATCCGGTGTGCTCTCCTGTTTCTTTGCTATGTCTGTATAGTCTAACGTGGCTGATACTAGTACAAGGTGTCCTATTAGAAATGCTAGAGCAGATGGGAGGAAAGACATATAATAGGATTTATAATGTAAGGCTACCTGTAACAGGCCATGGAGGCCCATGGGATCGTGAGACGTTGAGGGTCCCATAGAATCTAAAAATTCGCTCACAGATAGCGGTTTTGTGTTTTGTAAATAACCCCGTTCGAATTCCGGAAGGGGTACCGACTATCCTATCTGTTCAGTTTTGAGGTTTACATTAAGTTAATGAGCCGATTGCATCAAGCTTAACGCGTGTATTGGAAGGTGAGAGGTTCAGTTCTCAGGTAGAAAATCCAATATTCTCACTGGGGTATTTGTGGTTTATTTCAGGTTCTCCGTGCAATTACCGGAGCGCTAAATCAACAAGGACACCATTGTTTTCTTCCATATTTTTGAAATTTATTTTTCAATAAATTTGACGTACTATTCGACGTGTGTCGATGTGTCTAAACATCTCTGATGATCTCTCATCGTCATCGGATGATGTAAGCCTTTATGTTATCGTCACAAAATTACTAGATTCTATATTCATTATATGATTTGAGAAAGATCTTCGTGTTTTAAAAACAACATAGCGCCCCACAAACCCATACAGGACAACATCAAAGAACCCTCTTCTCGAGAACGACAGGGCGGCACACGTTCGGCCCCCGTCAACATAAATAATAAGAGGAACGACACGAATCTGCTTGGTTTCCGAATTCCAATAGAGTCTTAACAAACAAATTATAATTATTTTAATGCATTGAAACATCCGCTGTAGTTGTAAAGACTTTAGATTTTATACCAAATTGCATATTATTAATATTAAATGTATACGTTTAACTTTCAGAACATATACTGTAATAGTAGGTTCCAACTGTATTGATGTAAAGGTGTCTCTCTGATGATGGTTTCTGAAGACCGAAACATGTAAGAGCATAAATAACCGAAACAAGAAAATTTATTACCAGCCACACTAGACGGAAGTGTTTAGCTTTTCACGGAAATAAATTACTAAAATCCGAAAGGTCGATATAAATATTTGTACATGGGCAAAAAATTAATGTTCCACATGATATGTATTGTAGCGTGTTCGGGCGTATAACGCTACAAATAAGTTCACGCCGTCTTCTGGTATGGCGAGTTTATTTCTTCGCTCGTTTACACACTTTACAACCATCTGCACTAGCAGTGCTACAATCACTGCTCACAATATTCCGGCGAGACTGACTCCTTAGACGGATATTCCCAAACTGACTTCTTAGACGGGCCATCCGAAGCTTTCTTCTTCGAAGACTATTCCGAGACTCTCTTCTTCGAAGACTATTCCGAGACTCACTGTTTTTCGCTGAAGCTGGGCTATCTATAACCTTGCCCGCTGTTAGGCAACGAACCCTCCGTTATAACCATGGAGATGTTGCTTTGTTTGTCGTTACCGTGGAGATTCGATGTTCTCGATACAACAGCTCACTGTTGGAATTACAGTATCGCTATTGTTACTTCTTATGCAACGGTCTGTTCTAGCGTTTCCATAGAAGTGACTTCTGGATTCCAGACACGTTACATTGCTCCCTTCTAAAGGTTGTTCGTCCCCGAACAGCCTAAAGGTCCTCCCTCGGTTTCGATCCCGCGGTGTTTTGCTGGCAACGTCTGCATTCGGCCTTGCCGTTCTGTTGGCGTCTTCGTGTGGTGTTCGTTTAACCGCATCCGCCCCTCTCTTCGGTGGTGCTCGCCCCCGAGCACTCCCGTGGTCCAGAATTTGTCTGTCGCCTTGTTTCACATTCGCTCTTTCCTTTCATTCTTGTTGGGGAGGCCGGTACTTCCAAGCTACCGGTTCCTCCCATAAGGGTCCTTTCCCTTACAGTATAATACACGCACAGTTAACTTGTCAGCAGTGGGTCTGTGCCTGCGAGAAGTGAAAATTTTTTCCAAATGAGGCGTGTAGACTGTGAAAGAAAACAGAGAATTAGGTGTTCGCTTTCCCACCAGTAAGAAGTAGCCTCAAGACACAGTCTGAGCAGTGGGACAGAAAAATATGGTTATTGGTCTTGCGGGAAAAGAAATCAAGGTTAATTGTTACAGCGAAGACCAGCAGCAACTTTCCTCATTCGACCCTACCCAACCCGACCCTCAAGTGGTGCTCTGTGGGGGTTTAGCTTGATGATAAGTGACGTCACAGGGACACGAACTCAGAGACAATGATGTATGGATGTATCAAAACAACCCTCAAGTTAGATAGAAAGTTTGGGTAATCTATTTCGGAAGTAACTGAATCCTTATTAAGAAACTGAGACACTCCCGCTAATTAATTTTATGATTACGTAAGTGTTTATATTTTCTTTATTAATCATATGAGGATGTACGTTGCATGAATACTGTTGCTTGTATTGGTGTTACCGCATCTCATATAAACAATATACCTAACACAGTAATTGCAAAGAAACAAAAATTTATTTTGTATATTTTAAATCGTATGTTACAGCTTAGTGTTAAAAATAATCGTATATTTAATATTGTTGACGTAAATGTTTTAAAAGAGCACACTTAAATTCGCAATGGGGACCAGATTGGAAAGACACTGTAAAGAAACACAAAATATTACATTCCTACATTTAGTGATATATATGCTACGTGTTTCTCTCTTATATTTTGCTAATAAAATATCATTTATTTTCTCTGTACAAATTATATGTGAACAATTTTATTGTAGTTATATAGAGATCTGTTATTTGATTAAACAATGAGGCAAATGAGAGGTTGTCAGCAGATTTAAATGTTAATAATGTCCCGGTGTATGAACCTCTATAAAAATTAATGATATGTCACACATGGAACATGATATATATACAGTGTCCGTCTTGCAGTGCATCCAATTTTACCTGTCACTTCACAACTATGGTGCCGAAGCATGTTGTGAAGTGACAGGTAAAAGTGAATGCACTGCAAGACGGACACTGTATATATATATCATGGACTAAAATCAGTGCAACAGGACGCTAAAATACAACATCACACATGGGACAGTTGGTGAACATGAAACACATTCTGTTCCACAATTATTTCACAATAAACCCTGAGGTGCTGTGTGTATAGAAATCGATGCATTGCGGTCATTTTCCATTGTTATTTGGCCTGATATATTTTCCTTATTTTCTGAATAAACCAGTGGATTGTAGGGGCGAGTTCAACAACTGGGCAAGGAAGCCCTGGTGCAATATTTCCGGTAAACGACCCAAGCTGTAAATCCTTGAGACTTCTTGATCTTCAATGCGCATTTGATGTCATCGGCCACGTTGTTGTCTCTGAGTTCTGGAAGTAAAATGATGGATGTCAGTTGTCGTTTGAATACATGTGATATCTAAATTACTATTGAAGGTATTTGATTGATTTTTGCTTTTACTTTTAATAAAGTATATTTGCCGCATTTATTCTTGGCAGGAAAACGTACGCCGGAGATTCATACAAGAGTTATGCTGGGCGCTGCTCTTTTGTGAGGTACACCTCTAGATAATGTTCACGATGTTTCCGGAAATGATTTTACCTCCTTTTTATTTTACTCGATTTCATTAATCTAAAAATGACACATTAGAATTGGTTTTATATATTGTTTTGTCAGTATTATGGCGGCCAGATCCAGAAGGTCTTGTGTGTTAGATACTCCTCATTTCCAATATAATATTGGTATAATGAATGGACCATTGTCACAAACTTAGAAAATCGCAATATTTACTGCCCTATTAAACGGGGCATTTTTTCATGTTGTTTTGTACGGGGTTCCTCGAACAAGGTTTTGTAGTAGAAATACTATCTTTCACTAGCCGTTTATAAATTTTGCTTTCGACAGATGTTTTACTCTGTTGTCCAGTGGTCTGAGTTCCTGGCTATAGATTCCGAGGTTTTGTGTTCGATTCCCGGCGCTACCTGATTTTCTGTGAAATGTGTGTCTGGAAAGGGGTTCACTCAGCCTCATGAGGATAATTGAGAAATTATTTCAAGGAAATAGTAACACCCTCTATCCGCTATATTTGGCACTAACTTCGCCGACAAGCAGCGGTCGCTCGGTCGGTCGATATAGTTCGCTTGCGGAAAACAGGTCACGGAGTTTGTTTTTGTCTTTTATAGGAAATTTTACAGGAATATATTTTTCCATGCAGTGTCACATATTTAAATGCCTGGAGCACACTCTTGGAACCACTTGTGTCACTTGCCATTTTGGCTTTGAGTAGTTTTTCGAAATGAGCATGTCAATCGCAAAGCGTGAGATATCACCGTAGGCTTCCTGTAGACCTACCACACTTCTCAAAGCAATAGTTCTTTTCCTTTCTGGAACATATTTCCTAAATAATGGCTTGTCTCCTCTGGTATTTCACTTAGATAAGTAAAGCATGCGAGAAAGAATAATTCGGTACATTGTACTAAGTTTGTGTATGTTAGTTAGTTAGTTATTGGAGAGGGTGTGTTTCCCCATTCACTTAGACCTGTATTGGTCCATTGTGCTTCCCCCTATGATTTCTACCAGTCTCTATATCCTACCGGTATTGGTGCTTACCATCAGTCCCGCCCAGCCAGCAAGACCAGCTCTACTAGCTGAGAGGTATCTATAATGCTTCCCCATCTACCAGAGGTATTAGGGACTGCTGTTGGGCGGGAAACGTCCGTAATTTGGCTCAGTGATATCCTTTGGGGATATGAGTTTCTCTTACGTGCCGTAAAGCTACGACACGGGACCCACGGCTTAAAGTCCCTCCCGGAGGACTTGTTCCCTGAATTTTTCCGCCCTTAAAAATTTGACGACCTCCGCCGGGTATTTGAACCCGCGTACTACGAGACATGAGGTGGGAACGTTACCTCTAGACTACGGAGGCCGCTTAAGTTTGTGTATATAGAATAATGCAATATTGTAGGATATGTCTCTGAGTATAGTCGTTGAAGTTTACCGAACATTCAAATGAAATTTCTGCCTTCACCCATTGCTGCCGAGCAGAAGTCAAGCTAGCAACACGCGAGCTGCAGTATATTCCCTCCAAACAGTGGCAAATTCCTAAGAAATTTGCGGCATCAAATGTGCCCTCCATTTCTCCATATATGTATATTGTTTAAGCGGGTGCTTAATTAAACACAAGTGAAACTATGTATCTATTTCCGTGAGCCTCCAGAGTTGACTGAAGGCTCGAGGAATATCTGAACAAATCTTACATTATATTAAGAAAGAACTCATATACTAGCTCCGATAGAGTTCAGCGGAGCTTTTTAGATTAGTACATCTGCACTCACTTGCACAATTAATGTTGCAACTTCCGCCTACGCCTCTGTTTTTGCACCAGTATCTGTCGTTTATCTGAAAGTAAGGATCGACGTTACATTACGAACAAAAGAAAACATGTAACACAATATGAGACATAGGAAATAGAAAAAATGTTAGAGAGAGAGAGAGAGCGTGTGAGAAGGCGGATTTGATTCTTGTGGCTCAGGATAGATGTCAGTGGCGGACTCTTCTGAACACGGTAATAAATATTAGGGTTATATAGAAGCCAGGCATTTCATTGTCTGTCGGGATGATGATTAGCTCGTGAAGAAATATTTTTCTCCTTAGACTTTCTCTCTAATCAATGTACGTAAGTATATTCAGCTTTATTTTCGTAGAGTAACACAATTGTTTACCTGGAATATCCCATTGTCATAGCTTCTGTCCCTGTTGGGCCCGCCCCTAGCTGCAGTATTCAGACCGCTCTCATGCTGAGCTATACACAAAACTGTGAAAGAGAGAGGGAAAGATAAATGTCAGAATTACTGGGTTTTTGGGTTTTGCCCACCGTCCAGTGTTCTAGAAACGAGAATACGCATCGTTCTGGGAATTTTATGTTTGCGTCATGAGGTGAGGGGTTGGGAAAGACACATACTCTGTTCTTCCCTTAGAAAAAGCGAACGTCAATCATGGGGGAGATACCTACTCTGTTGGGTTTAAAAATTTTTGCTATTTGACAGTTATTTTAAATGTTATTAAATTTTCACGGTTTATAGGAAAGTTTGACCGCCTCTGTGGTGTAGTGGTCAGAGTTTCTGGCTACAGATCCTGAGGTTCCAAGTTCGATTCCCGGCGCTACCAGATTTTCTGAGAAATAATGGGTCAGGTATAGGGTTTACTCAGCCTCGTGAGGATAATTGAGTAGCTGTGTTATGGAAATAGCATCTGCGGTCTAGGAGGCCGAGATTAACGACCGTGGGGAACCTTTGCGCTGACCACGTGACATTAACTTCACATTAACTTCGCCGGCAAGCGTCGGTGGCTCGGTCGGTATAGTTCGCTTGCGGGCTACGAGGTCAAGGAGTTTTTTTTTTATATATATGACTAGTGACAGTGGGTTGTGTACAGAAAACAGAAATACGCCGGTAAGAATACTCGTAAAATTCAAACTGACATAACCACCACCCACCACCCTCAATGTAAGAACAGCATTGTGACCAAGAACTCAGGGCCAAATCATCCCAGAAAAACACTGAATACAAAGAAAAAAGTGAATTGTGCAGATGAACTGCATACATTCACACAGAACGTTCAAACTCTGCAACGTAACCGAAACTACTAATGATAATAGGAATACGCAAGTTATTCTACTATAGTGTACGTGTATGACGTAGCATATATTGCATAAAATACGCCGGTGGGTTCCACCTGGCTCATACATAAATTTAAGCTAAGTATATGACATGCCTGTTGTAACTAAAAACAGGACACACTACACACGTGGCGAAACATGTCATCTTAGACAACAACCCCATCTGCTGAACATAGTGTTCTATTGATAGGAATTGAATAATTGTTATGTTTGGGTGAAAAGTTTAAGAACGAATTATCAGGAGGCTAATGTGCCATTCAGTGCTTTGTTTTCTATTAAATAAATTTAATAATCTTTGTCAGCTATTTAACTCACAGGTTGCTAAATCTTTTTTTGCAACGTTGCCTTTCCTTAGTTCTCGTAGGAACTGGCACTTGGTGAATTTTCTGGCAACGGACATATGAGACGTCACAAGAAGTAGGATCAGGCAACCACTGACTGCTCTCATTGTGGCGTTGTCCTGTAACAGAATAACTTGACGGAACATGTCAATGAATTAAAGGAGTAAAAGAAAAAAAATGTAATTTTCAGCAGAAATATTTTGAGCAAGGAAACATTCTTTCGAAATTTTCACACTTCTTTATTTATTGAAATTGTAATAACGTAGCCGAGAAGACAATATTAAAACGGGGTTTACAAACTAAGTTTATAGAAATAACATAGACTAGAGGACAGCATTAAATCGGATTTTACAGAACTAAGTTTAGCGATGTTGACTGGAATCTACATATTGAGGATTGGGATCAGTGGCGACTGTTGTGAATATGACAATGCAATTTCGGTTCTACTATTCATGGGGAATTTTATGACTTACTGAGTTACTAATGTCTTCTGAAGAAGCATTCTGCTCCATGGCGTTTGTTGTTCGTCTCGCATGGAAACATTCCAGTTAAGAGTACAAGGACAAGACTTACACAGTTATCGTCTTTTATGAATATAATGAGAATATACAGTGAGTAAATTATATTATAAGATCAGACAATTTGTGACGATGATATATTAGTACAATCATTATGTTTCTGGATATTATCCGTCGTCCTGTTTTTATTTAAATCACACAGCCTTAGGGAGACCAGTTTCTCCGCATTTAGAGACTAGCTCTTTCGATGGGAGTGAGTAAATTCCGTCCGAAGACGGAGACAGATTCCGAAACATTATGTGTTTTAAATAAAACAGGAAGATGGTTAATGTCTAGAAACACAATATTTGTATAAACTTCACTATGTTGAATGTTAAATTCGAAGTTCTAATACGCCTATAAAAAATTTAATGCCTAAACGATCCAAAAACCGTTGATGTCTTTTTCACCCCACAAAGTGATATAGAAATTACTGAGGCTTCGAAACAGAAGATCTCAATATATTTTGACTCTTAACTGTCATTCTCAAATGTCCGATAATTTAATTTAAATATTGAGTATGGTTATGTATATTTAAATCTGATTATTTTAGGACGACGTAACGTGAGTTAACTTACCTGCGAAAACAGCGATATTTGAAAACAGAAGTGATTTGGTTCCATAGCGCTTCAACTATTTATAGTACATTTGAATTTTCCATTATTTCAAATATAAAGTTATGTAATCTAATATTCTTTGGAGATAAACATGTCAGTTGTAAATTAATGCCTCACTTTCTGGTTTTACTATTATTAATTTACTGCAATTGGGTAGATCTTGCACTGATACAGGCAATGAAGCACTATAATGTAAAGGGAACAATACAAGACAAAGTACATTGCAATAAGCAAGGCACACATAGTGCAAATCCAAACATATAAAGTCATCTAAAGTCACTGCACTGGAACAAGGACACTTGTCATTACTTCACTTGTTTCCATTCAAAGTATGCCAAAGGCCTCTTTACTTGTAACAGCTTTCCTAACCCTCTTTCTAAACGTGTTTAGTTTACAGGGGTAAGACGCTAGTATGCCTGCGGGTAACTTTTCCAATCTTTATGGTCCTATTTACAAAGAAATATTTTTCTACATCTGTTCCTTGTTTCCTGCTCCTAACTTTCAAACTATTAACGTCCCTACTCAGATAACATGGTTTAAGCAGGCTATCCCCTATGGCTTTCATCCCCATGGCCTGGATGCAAGTTAAGATGGCGTTTATCCCAAAGCCCGGGAAAAATTGATTACACCGAGGCTAAGGCTTATCGTCCTATTAGCCTGTCATCTTTCCTGTTGAAACCGATGGAGAAATAGTGGATAGGCATATCAGGGACTGGGCGTTGAGGACATATCCTCTACAAGGAAACCAGCGTGCCTACCAAACAGGTAAATCTACCGAAAGCGCACTACACAATGTGTTAACACGCATAGAAAGTGCGTTTGAATACAAGGATATTGCCTTAGGAGCATTCCTTGACATAGAGGAAGATTTCGATAGAACCTCATTTGATATAATCAAATAGGCTGCTGGAAGGCATGGCATAGAGCCTGCAATATGCAGATGGGTCAGTGATATGCTGGGAAGCATTACCATAGCTGCCCCCTTATCAAGAGGGACTTTTGGTGCGTCCGCGTCTAGGCAGTGTCCACAGGAGGGGGCTGCTCTCGCCTCTACTGTCGGTCTTGGTCCTCGACGACCTCCTGTGAGGACTTAATGATGATGGGTATTACACAGTAGGATATTCTGATGACATAGCAATCCTCATAAACGGAAAATTCCTTCCGACAGTATCAGAGCGTCTTCAGACAGCTCTGCACATGATCCAACAATGGTGTGAAAGAACAAGCCTTTCCATCGATCCCAATAAGACGGTAATTATACCGTTTACTAGGAAGAGATATATAAAGGGTCTTAAGGAACCGACCCTCTTCAATAAGACGATCCAGCTCTCCAGCGAAATCAAGTACCTTGGTGTAGTATTAGACAAGGGACTGACATGAAAGAGCAGCTGGACAAGGTCATTAACAAAGCCTGTAAGGCTTTTTGGACATGCAGAAGCATGTTTGGTAAAACCTGGGGACTGCATCCGCACGTTGTGCATTGGATATACACTGCGGTTGTAAGACCCATAATTACATATGGCGCCACAGTATGGTGGCCCAGAGTTATACTCAAGACAAGCAAGGCAGAACTTAGCAAATTTCAAAGGTTGGCTTGTTTGGGTATCACAGGAGCAATTCGAAGATCTTCAACAGCTGCACTCGAGACACTCCTTGGACTCCCCGCACTGCATCTACAGTTGGAGGCATAGGCCAAGGCAGGAATCTACCGTCTCCAGTGCAGTGATCAATGGAAACCTAGATCCGATGGTTTCGCCCATGCATACATAACTCAGGGCATGAAATGAACCCATATTACAAATGGGGTCTGACAAAATTATACCGAGACTTGTATCTGAAAAACACTTCAGAGTCAGATTTCCTGACAGGAGTGAATAGGAAGACGGGTTTCGGCCCGATAGGTAAGGGGGACTGATGTGGTATACAGATGGTTCCAAGATAAATAAGGGTATTGTAGCTGGTGTGTACTGCTATGGCACGAGGCCGAAAACTGACATACACGAGATCAACTCAGAATTGGTCTGGGATTTCCACCAAACTCTCATGGAACTGGCCAAACATAACAGGGTACAACTGTGAATGCCTGGGCGTGAGGGTATTACTGGAAACGAAACAGCAGACCAATTGGCCGAGATTGGAGCTGAACATCCGTTCATAGGACCTGAACCAGCCTGTGGCATCTCTATAGGAGTTGCCAGACAGGAATTCAGGGACTGGACAAACATGAATCACAAGAAATACTGTAGATATTTAACTGGACTCAGGCAAGCAAAGGGACTCATATGAAGATCCTCTGCTAAGGAGCGAAGTAACTGTTGAAGGTAAACAGGAACTAACTACGATGGGTGGAGGGACTACTTACAGGCCACTGTCACCTTAAAGGATACTTCTTTAAACTGGGACTAAGTGATAGTCCCACTTATGAGAGGGGTCAAGAAGAAACAGCCACACATATCCTGTGTGAATGTGAGGCCTTAGCTTATTTAAGATTACGTCACTTGGGTCAGTACTTTATCGAACCAAGTGACTATTTCAACGCCCCCACATACAAATTCCTACGCTTCATTCGAAGCGCTGGATTGCTGAGGGGATAATCAAAAGGGGAAGCACAATAGACCACTCTGGTCGCGGTCGTTCATTCCTCAGTCGTCCAGCTCGTATTCTAGTTACTGTAACGACTGAGCTATCTCGGCCCGGTACTTCATATCATCAAGTGATGGAGTTAGACTACTGACTGGTTTTGGATTGATGACCGGATTTATTGGACTCTGTGACGCAGCGCGTGACTACACATTTCACTGCTACACACACACAAACACAACACACACACACACACACTAGTATCCACAGTCATGTCTTCCCTAGACGTTGCTTATTAGCGGTTTTCAACGTCGGACATTCCTCTTCCTCTAGGTTCTCGAACTATAAAGTTATCGCTGTGGCTTAACTAATTGAGAATTACTCCATGAAGGCGTATGGGTGAGTGAATTTATAGATCCATATTTTCTTGACGTCAATCCTAACTGGAGTTGAATGATCAGCTTCACGCCCGTGCCACTTTACCCCCTGGGAAAGAGTCCTGGTACACATTGGATGAGAAGCTGGCAGGGCCCCAAAGCCAGCATGGACGACGTGGAGAAGAGACAATTCTTGATCCTTCCGGGGCTCGAACTTCGACCCCTCGGTCGTCCAGCCCGTAGCCACTCGCTCTACCGCCTACGATATCCCGGCTTATAATACACTTGTGTATAATCACATACAGGTCCTTTATTTTAGCGGATAATTTAGAGTGATTGAAATCGTATTGGTGCTAATCACAGTAGCTTCGCGGTCTAAGACATGAACAGTCTTCGTGGGCTCGAGCACTGGGGTCGAGGGTTTGAAACCCATTCCAGTCATGGATGTCTATGTTCCTTTATTCTTGGTTTGTGTTATCCTGAGTGTGGGTAGGAGCCTTGCGACGGGCTGATAACCCCGTCCAAGGAGTCTTATCTTCTTCGTAAAGAAGTTTACGAAACTTAAGAAGAGGCCAGGGTCCGACAAAAGGCAAAGGGAGCAATAGATTGCTAGGTAGTTTTGGGGATGGGAGTTGGGCAGGCGCTAAGTAAGCATTCACTGCCATTAATTTCAACCATCTTGTACAGCACTATGTAGATTCTGCAGCAGTATTTTGTCATTAAATAAAGTAGTGTTGTTTATGTACTGCGGGTAAACACCATGAAGCTTTTGTTGCCTGTTTACAATTGATAATAGGGACAGAAAGGTATGAACATGCGTCAGAGCAGTTTGAGGCTTTGCAGGAAGACAAACAAAAATGACTTCTTACTTCCGGGTATCTTGCGGCTGTGATTGGCTAATGACTCCATACATAGCAACAGGAGTGGAAATGAGAATTTCAGGTTTCAGGAAGTCTGCCTGTGATAGACCTATAAGCATGTGAATGTTAAATAAAACATTGAAAATTTTACTTAAAATGTGACTATCTTTTTTAACTGTCTCTTGAAAAAGGCTCGCTGACACAAACTGTAACGTGTCTTTAGTTGTATTTTGGAAATGACCCGTTCGAATCCCACCCGTGTTACCGAATATCCAAGGTGTTTATTTTTGAGGTTTCGTTTGGATAACGAACGGATTGTTTCAAGCTTAACGCCTTTGGCTTGTAATGGAAATTAAGAGGTTCAGTAGTCAGGCGGAAACTTCGATTACTCTCAGTGGGGAATTTCTGGTGTATTTCAGTCCCTCCAGGCAATTACCGGAATGTTGCTTCAGAAAGGACGTTATCAGTTCCTTCCATATCCTTTCAAATTCATTGCGCACTAAACTTGACTACCAATCGACACTATAGGTGTCTCATCATCAGATGATGAGTACGTGAGCCTTTATGTTATCTTCACAAAATCTACCTAGGCAACACAGACGACTGGCAGCAACAAAATTGGCCATAACTTGAAATCAAGATACGAGCAATACTACAAATTTGGGAACAAGTACCGCAAGACACATAATTACTTGATAGAAAACAAATACTCGACCAACTAGTTGGAGCCAAAAATTACACACGTACTGACAAACTCCAAGCCACCACCACACTCCTGGACACAATAGACAAACTGATAGTCAAATTCACCTGGCAGGCAAACACTGGAAACGTCCTAACTTTGTATATGGAAGACTGGAAGACGGAGGAATATACGTGCACATCCTCCCAACCCGCATTAAAACTGTGGGAACATCCCACATATTATCACGCATTTCTGCAACACTCGCTATTCAGCTCACTTTTCACCATCACGTGCGCTAACCAATCACATTGCTTCAAACGTTCTCATTTATACAGCGCTTGCGGCTAGCCCACATCTACATCATTATGCGCGCTAGCCAATCAACACTCAGCAAATTTTCGCCCCGATACTTGGAAGTGAGGGTGGAAGAAGTGCAGTTCCCACATCACCCCCCCGCGGAGATGGTTGCTCAGTGTATCTTCTTATGTAGCCTGTTGTCCGACATATAGAAAACGGTTACGTAATAGGTACTGCTGTTGCCACATACCGTGTTTACAAGTTGAAGCGAATGGTTTTGTGGGAACTGCACACATTCAAAGTAAGTGTGAGCAGTTCCCACATCACCATTCGCTTCAACCTTTTGCAAATTTTCTAACCAGAAAGAACAGAGAGAAGGCGTGGTACTTCCAAGCAAACAACATCAAGATATATGCCCTAAGCCTACACGCAGAAGCCGTGCTCAAACTGAACCTGAACCCAGCGCGCTTTCCCATACTGACACCCGTCCTCGCCAGCGCACTCGAAGCCTGGCACGGTACTTCCAAGTAAACATCAGGATGTATGCCCCAGGCCTACACGCAGAAGCCGTGCTAAAACTGAACCTGAACCCAGCGCGCTTTCCCATACTGACACACTTCTACGCCAGCGCATTCGAAGCCTGGCACGACATTAGACCCATTGTTAACCCCAACCTACAGTCCCTTGAAGTCCTAAGGCACATCCCCTTGCGCGACTCCACCCTCATGACCCCACATATTTCCGGCCACAAAGTTGTGTTTGACGAAGCTTGGAATGTTCTAAATACGTATAACCTACGTAGAAGACCTAATCACGAAGAATGACCACTGGAAGGAACTAAAAGACATCGACACAACACACTGTACCCAATCGACAACCCGTAGACTGGCAACCAACCTACGGAAATCAGAAGCCTTTTCTCACCACAATACCTAAACCTTTCGCTGAAAATCACCAACCCCCATCTCTTACGTAATAAAACAATCCAACGGTAAACTGACTCCCCTCCCCATACTCAAACGCAAGGCATACAACCAATGGCACCTGGGAAAACACCAGTGGAAAGCAATATACCACCACCCCATCGTGAGCAAAGACGGCGACTTCTCATGCAGAACACTACATAATAGTATAGCCACACCGCAACAGCTGCAGAAATTGGGTAAGAGAGACACACCAGACTGCCCCTGGTGCCCAGGCACAACAGGAACAACGGATCACATGATCTTTGATTGCTCCACAGTCACAGCCTTCTGAGGCCGTCTAACAGAGACGCTCCATGCCCTGCTGGATCCTCACCCACTGCAAAAGTAGCAAATACTGTATGGATACCCCAACCTAGATACCACACCCAAAAAACTCTCCAACTACTTAATAGTCCTAGCCAACATTAGCGTCCATTTGTCCATAATTCCTTTAAATTGCAACACTTTATTTTACACTTCAATACACTCTACACTAAGTAAGAAGTGTTTGCAATTTAGACGGGTTATAGACAAATGGACGCTAATGTGAACAATTGCAAAGGGATGCTAAAATACAGAGTCCTAGCCAAGACCACTATATACAAGACATAAATAGCAATGAAGAGCACCCACAAGAAACCACCAGACTACTAACGCATGTAGCGCATAAGGCTGCTTTTCGGACTAAATCTAGAATTGCACTACAGTATATGGCAAGATGGCTTCGAGACGTTCGACAGCTACTGGCTACCGAAAACATACTAAGAAGAATTCAAGAGGGACGAATTATACTCAACAATGAGATCTAAATACTGCTGTACACATCAACTGCATATAAAATGTAGTACTAATTTTAAATATATGTTACTTTATTTTATTTTATCTTCTTTCATTTACATATTTTGTTGTAAAAATTTAAGTTATTGTTAAATAAGTTTTGTTAAATAAACTATAAAGTAAAAATCTATCTATCTATCTATCTATCTATCTATATAGCCCTTGTGAACTTTAGCCGCCCTTTCAGTTTTAACGAGTCTCAAGGTCGCTAACTACACGCAGAACAACACAAAGAGAATAAACGCACATAGACATACTCGTACACGTCTCGAGTTGGATTCGAACTCACTATCCCAGTGTTCCAACGAGCGAAGATAGTTCATTACTTAGAACGCGTGGAGGCAGCGCCTTATCTCAAGAGGTTAGTCGCTGAGTTCCCACTGCTGCGATCCGGGTTCGAGCCCCGATCTGCTCATGTGAGATTTATGGTGGACAAAGTGGTACTGGGGCAGGTTTTCTCAGAGTATTTGGGTTTATATTGCCCATCTTCATTCCATATTTACTCCACAGTCATCATCATCATCTATCATGTTGTACTGTTAAAATGGTAAAGTAGTGGCCGCAGTACCTAGTATTGCTCGTAATGCAAACGTATTAAAGAAAAGCCGTGACACGCACACAGAGAACGTGCACAAAATAACACGCGAGTTGTGTTGAAAGCAAGAGGTAACCAATGTAGCACATATAAGCATAGAGCAGGTATCTCTGTGCTTTCGGTTTTTTAAATCTAAATTTAAATTTTAAATATTAAAACTAAATGAGAATTTAAAATTTTAAAGCAATCGACTTGTGAATATTCATAAAACACAATTGACAAAATCGACAAGAGGAGGTTTAGAATATCGGGTGCCGATTGACGACAGAAAATGAACAATTGGAAATCTGGAATTCAAATGATAATTTTTAATGCAGTGTGACAGCTACGTGAGGTGAAATACACCTGATGATGGCCGATTACGGCCGAAACATGTAGTGTGAAAGAAGGGGGCAAGAACTACAATAAAGTGTTGCGTTTATGACAGAGTTTATATTATACACATAGAAGAACAACTGACCTGTTAAAATTAAACAGAGATCAACTCAGATGGGTGGAAGGATTACTTACTGGACACTGCCATCTAAAAGATCACCTTTTCAAACTGGTACTGACAAGCGGCCCAACTTGTGAAAGGTACCTACAAGAAGATGAATCAGCCACACACATCTTATGTAATTGTGAGGCTTAAGCTTACCTAAGAAATCGCGACCTGAGTCAGTCCTTCGTGGAAGCAAGTGACTTTTATGACACGCGATAAATGAAGTCCTACATATCATTCGAAGTGTAGGATTAATAAAGTGTTAATCCAAGGAGGAAGCACAATAGATCATTGACGGTAGCGGTGGAAAGGTTGGTTTTTATAGCTCACCCCTCGTACTCATACACATACTCACATTGATTATGGTAACGAAACTTTTCAAAACGAACACATTAGAGCAAATAAATATATGTGTCAACTTACCTGTGAACCTGGCAGTGTTTCGAAGAGAAATATCTTGGTCCCTTTCGGCTTCAGGTATTTATAGCGCGGTTCAGATTTTTGTTACGTTTATGTCAAAAGAGTATCCCACTTTTTTTTATGCATGAACAATATCGCATGCCCCTCTTTTCTTCAAGTATGTAAACATCATTTGTTCTAATTTTTTAGGATAGGTATATCAGTAGGAAAACATTTAAGTGAGTAAGTAGATAACCAATTTGACTATGCATAAATAAATAACCTAATTGTTTCAGTTCTATAAATGGTTCATTTCACAAGACAAGGCCACGCTTATTCCATTAGAGAAATCGTTGCCAAAGTCCTTAGAGAAAAGAATTTGCATGAATATCCAGCTGCGCCAAGATGGATTGTGTTTTGTATAATAATTATAATTTAATGACAACAACTGTCAACCGTAGTTAGTGTCGTTAAATGGAAAATCCCTCATTTCGACATACATGTTGTCATATGTATGCCCATTAGTAGGTAACGAGTCGCTAAAAACATTCCCACAACACAAACTGAAGCGTCATTATGAGGACATCCATTGAAAGGTAACGGAGAAGTAAATATGCTTTCTTGGCAAAAGAAGACGGTGTTTTCTGTGGGGTGTGGGTCGAGGAGATATCATTGGACACAGTCAGAACAAATGCTTCATGTTGGATATATTTTCTCCGAAATTCTTGAATGCTCTTCTTGAATTACGAGTATGCTTGATTATTTCCAAGGATATTTGATTCCTAAGATTCCATGTTTTAAATTTTTACGCGTTTTCATCTTTGGAGCTACTTAAAGGGAATTGTATAGAGCAACACGCCACATACATTGGAGGAGTTAAATAACAATGTAGCACCTGAAATTTAGCAAATAACTCCTTAAGTAATATGTAATGTCTCTTTAAAGATTGCGAAATATTCATGCTTGCATTTATAAAGAAGAGGAAGATTAGAACATATTCTGTAGCCTGTAAGATTCTTACATTCATTTGAACCTCCCCTGTAACCAGTTTGTGTCAAGAAAGTTAACTGCTATCTGGGACGCCGTTTTTTGGAATACCCTATTTGTCACACTAGACGCTTGCTGCCAATCCCTTATGAACTCGTAAACCCTCACGTTAAAGGGACATACTTTCAGCCCTACATTGTGTATATGTGGTTCTTACTTTAAATAGATTTATTCATAAAAACAAACATAACTGGAATGGCAACAGGGGATTCTCACTGAGAATGTAGACCATGGATTAGACATTTCCTCTGTGCTCATGAAGGTCATAAGAAAATTCTATGTTCTTTCATGTAACAAGGAAATGTCGAAATGTCCATTTTATATGTAAGTGGACAGATCAACCTGTTTACGTGCTTTGTATCGATATCCAGAGGAAGTGGATTCTTACATTTATCAGTTCTACTACAATTTTTGCCAAAGAACTGTCAATGATATTTTAAACTTCAAAACCATTTCATGACCAATTAATATGTAGAGAATGACAATGTTTTATACGATTTTTCAACAATTCTGATCTAAAGAACCTAGACACAAATACAGATTTCTCTTACGTTAAATGAGGCACGTATCATGTCTGAATGTTTGAACGATTTTCTGACTGTTCGCTGTGTCGCCAAATTATAATTATTTACGTAAAATTACCGTTGATAAGAAATCTACAGATCTGCTTATAATTTCTGCGTAACGATTTCACATATCAGTAAAATTAAGAATTCGCGCAGACGCCATGTTTTAATCTTACATTGCGTAACACCACTGTTTTGATTGAAATTGCTTTCTTTAGCAATATCTGTTACCGTAACAGATTTGAGGGGTATATATATTAACGCTACTAATGTCAGTCCTGCCTGACAATTTTGCATAGGCGCCATGTTTCATTTCTTAATGACAGGAAATAAAAAGGAAACAAATGTTGGTAGCCCATTGTGGCATGACATCTGTAATATGTTCAATGAAAACCCGTCAATTGACTTAAAGTCATTAGGTATGAACTGAAACCAAGATACAGACAGGATGATGATAAAGTACATGTCTCATTTTAAAATGAAAAAATTGTGTTGAATAAGGAGTGATAAATTATGTTGCAGCTACGTACTGCGGCCTGAAGCTGTATACGCCATTATATGTTCGTTTCAGATGCGTTTGTATGCATTTAACGACAGTTTGAGAAATGTAGCAATAGCAGTAACATATTGTGAAGATTTTAGAATGACTATGACGGGGGTTGGATTTATAATTGAATATATTGAACCCTTACATCTCAGTGACTACAAGTAACTCACTAACTCACACACTTTACACTTCACTAGAGCACACACCTAAGTCTTCTCAGCCTGCTGTGTCTTCACTAGTCTCCTGGTAACGGCTTCCAACATCAGACGTTCCGCTTCCTCTGGGTTCCCGAATTGTACCCGTCCTTAGCTGCAGCAGTTCTAGACTGACTGACTAACTATGTGACTGACTGACTGACTTTCTAACTGACTGACTGGCTGATTAAGTCAGAGACAGATTTCTTTACGACAGCGGTTTACTGCCAATCATTTCCCAATCCGTTCGCCTTGACGACAGCCCCTTGAGACCCACCACCATCGATTACTTTCTTGCAAATGAACCCTTGCGGTCATCGTTTTTATGTAACATCTTCTGTGACTAGAAGACGGGTCTATCTAAGTCTTGAGTCTTATGTTACGACCGACGGTCATTCGGCCAGTCTGTCTCTTAATAAAGCACCCACCTGGGGCTTACGACGAGATTTTTATTACTGTGAGACAGTTGCGGATTTTTTGATGTGGGGCGCTTTGTCTGACTAGTGGACGAGTCTCGTTTTAGTTGCCGCTGATCCTCTCCATCGCAGTCACTCTCGGGACCGAGGCCCTTGGGACTTGTAACCACATTGCACTTTCTCGCATTCGAGACTTTCTTTTTGTGGCCTCCTACGACTCGCAAAAATATGGTGGAGGTATTCGATCCCGTCTTCACCAGGAAGTTTTCCCCTGGGTTTACCTCTAGACTTGTCTCGGTGCTGACCGCGTAGAAATTTCCACTTCCAACTATTTTTGAATGCAGTTAATGCCGTGGAATTGTTGCGTTCGTGTCTTTGGGCCGAGACGGTTACTTAGTAGCGGCGGTTGTATACTTGCTTATTTCGCTGTGGTTGCCTAGCAATGGGTCTACATGTCACAATATTGTATTGTCCTTGAGATCACCGTCGTCTGTGATGTGATACCGTGTAACCTGACAGATCGTTACCGCCGTTACTTTCCAGATGACAGTGATTCTCATAGTTGCCAAAGTGAGAACCTTGAACCTCTCATCATCCAGCCCTGTCTTCTCAACTGATCCTGTCTGCACTCCTGTTTCTTTGCTATGTCTGTATAGCCTAACGTGACTGATACTAGTACAAGGCGTCCTATTAGAAATGCTAGAGCAGATGGGAGGAAAGACATATAATACGATTTGTAATGTAAAGCTACTTGTAACAGGCCATGGAGGCCCATAGGATTATGAGACGTTGAGGGTTCCCATAGAATCTAGAAATTCGCTCACAGATAGCGGTTTTGTGTTTTGGAAATGACCCCGTTCGAATCCCGGAAGGGGTACCGACTATCCTGTCTGTTCAGTTTTGAGGTTTACATTAAGTTAATGAGCTGATTGTTTCAAGCTTAACGCGTGTATTGGAAGGTGAGAGGTTCAGTTCTCAGGTAGAATATCCAGTGTTCTCACTGGGGTATTTGTGGTTTATTTCAAGTTCTCCGTGCAATTACGGAGTGATACATCAACAAGGACACCAATGTTACTTCCACATCTTTGAAATTAATTTCTCACTAACGTTGACCTACCATTCGACGACATAATGTGTCTAAACAGCTCTAATGATCTCTCATCATCAGATGATGATGTAAGCCTTTATGTTATGGTCACAAAATTTCTAGATACTATATTCATCATATTATTTGAGAAATGATCTTCATACCAAAGATTACGCTCATAAGACATGACAATTGACTATGGAAACTGTGACGTACTCTAAAAAATGTTTCGGACGAATTAAAGACCTTTTATGCAGACAGAATTGTTAAATAAACCCTAACCCAGAGGGAAACAGGTCATTAAATTCTGAAACGTCGTTGTAAACATTTGTACACGACGAGTAACTCATGTCCTTCGTGATATGTTTAATACAGTTAACATTTCAGCAATGGGTTTGTGCCTGCAAGAAGTGAAAATTTTGTCCAAATGTGGTGTGTAGGCTCTCAAAGAAGAAAGAAAATTAGATATTCGCTTTCCCACCAGTGAGATGTAGCCTCAAGACACAGTGTGAGGAGTGGGACAGATAAATATTATTATGGATCCTGCGGGAAAAGAAATCAAGGTTTACTGTTAGGATGAAAGCCAGCAGAAACTTTCCTCATTTCACCCTACCAAACCTGACCCTCAAGTGGTGCTCTGTGGGGGTTTATCTTGCTGATAAGTGACGTCATAGGGAAACGAACTCGGAGACATTGATGTATGGATGTATCAAACCAATCCGCAAAATAGATGGGATTTTTGGTAATCAATTTCGGAACTACTGAATCCTTATTAAGAAACTGAGGCACTTCCTCTATTTAACTTTATCATTATGTAAATGTTTATATTTTTCCGTTAATCTTACGAAAATGTAAGTTGCACGAATACTGTTGCTTGTATTGGTGTTACCGCATCTCATATAAATAATATATCTTACACAGTAGTTGCAAAGAAACAAAACTTTATTTGGTATATTTTAAATGGTATGTTACAGCTTATTGTTAAAAATATATTTAATGTTATTGACTTAAATTTTTTAAACAACACACTTAAATTCGCAATGGGGAAGGAACTGTGAAGAAACACAAAATATTACATTCCAACATTTAGTGATATATATGCTACGTGTTTCTCTCTTTTATTTTGAAAATACAATAGAATTTTTTTTCTGCCCAAATTATATGTGAACAATTTTATTGCATTTCCTTAGAGGTCTGTTATTTTATTAAACAGGGAAGAAAAATGAGAGGTTGTTAGACGATTTAAATATTAAGAATGTCCCTGTTTAAGAACTTCTATACATTTTAATGATATGTCACACAAGGAACACTTGGTGAACATGAAACACATTCTCTTCCAAAATTAATTTAGAATAAACGCTGATGAGCTGTGTGTATAGAAGTTAATGCATTGCGGTCATTTTCCATTGTTATTTGGCCTGATTGGTTTTCCTTAAATTCTGATTAAGCCAGTGGATTGCGGAGGCCAGTTCAACATCTGGGCAAGGAAGCCTTGGTGCAATATTTCGAGTAAGTGATCCAAGCCTTAAATCCTTGAGACTTCCTGATTTTCAATGCGCATTTGATATCATTGGCCAGGTTGCTCTTTCTGAGATCTGGAAGAAAAATGATGGATGTCAGTTGTCGTTTGAAGAAATATGATTTTTAAATTAACTATTGAAGGTATTCGATTGATTTCGGCATTTAACTTTTAATAAAGTATAATTGCCGCATTTATTTTTGGCAAGAAAACGTAGGCCAGAGATTAATACTAGAGTTCTGCTGGGCACTGCTCTTGTATGAGGTAACATTCACTATGTTTCCGGAAGTGATTATAGCTCTTTTTTTTAGATTACTGGATATCACTAATCTATAAGTGACGGTTTAGAATTTCTTTTAAATATTGTTTTGTCAGTATAATGACAGCCAGCCATCAGAAAACATGAATAGAAACAAGTGCCAGAAGGTCCCTGTGTGTCAGATCAGCCTCAGTTCCAAAGTAATATTGATATAATGAATGGACCATTGTCACAAACTTAGAAAATCACAAATTTGACTGCCATATTACAAGTAGGCAATTATTAACCTTGTCTTCTACAGGGTATCTCGAACAAAGTTAGTAGTAGGAATGGTATTTCTTTCTTGCCGTTTATAAATTTTGCTTTTCACAGTTATTATAAATGTTTTTAAACATTCACAGTTTATAGCAAAGATTAGCGCCTCTGTGGTGTAGTGGTCAGAGTTCATGGCTACAGATCCTCAGGTTCTGGGTTCGATTCCCGGCGCTACCAGATTTTCTGAGAAGTAGTGGATCTGGAACGGGGTCCGCTCAGCCTCGTGAGGATAATTGAGGAACTATTTCAAGGAACTAGGGGTTCCGGTCTAGAAATACTAAATTAACGGCCGTGGGGATCCGGTGAAGCTGACGACTTGACGCCCTCTATCCGCTAAATTTGGCACTACCTTCGCCTACAAGCCGTGGTCGCTCGGTCGGTATAGTTCACTTGCGGAATATAAACTACGGAGATTGTTTGTTTTTTATGGGAAATATTACAGAATATAATTTTCCGTGCAGTGTCACATATTTAAATGTCTGGAACACACACTTGAAACCACTTGTGTCACTTGCCATTTTGGCTTTCAGAGTAATTTTTCGAATTGAGCTTGTCAATCGCAAAGCGTGAGATACCATTTCCTGTAGGCTTCCTGTAGACCTACTACACTTCTCAAAGCAATATTTTTTTTTCTGTCTAGAAAGAATTTCCTAAAGAACCGTTTATCTCTTCTGTTATTTCACCTAGATAAGTAAAGCATGCGAGAAAGAACAATACGGTACATTGTACTAAGTTTATGTATATAGAAGAATGTTATAATCTAGGATGTGACTCCGTTTAGTGTTGTAGAAGTTTACCGACGTTTCAGATGAAATTTCTGCCTCCGTCCAGTGCTGCTGAACAGAAGTCAAGCTAGCAAGACGAGAGCTGCTGTATATTTCCAAACATTGGCAAATTTCTAAGAAATTTGTCGTATCGAATGTGTCCTCCATTCCTCCAATCGCATTCTGCGCGGGTGCTTAATTAAGCACTGTGAAGACTATGTATCTATTTCAGTTGGCCTCCAGGGTTGACTGTACGCGCCAGTAATATTTGAACAAATGTTACAATATATTGAGAGGTACATCTGCACTCACCTGCACAATTAATGTTGCAACTTCCGCCTACGCCGTTTTCTCTGCACCAGTATCTGTCGTTGATCTGAAAGTGAGAATCCTCGTTACTTTCCGGAGAAAAGAAAAGGTCAAACATAATATGACACATAGACATAGACCAAGTATTAGAAAACGAGAGAGAAAGAGCGTATGAGAATGCGGATTGGATTAATGTGGCTCAGGATAAACGTCAGTGGCGGAATCATGTGAACACGGTAATGATTATTCGGTTTGCATAAAAGCCACGTGTTTCGTTATCTGTCAGGATGGTTGTTAGCTCGTAAAGAAATATTTCTTCTCTGTACACATTTTCTCCAATCACAGTACGTACGTATATTCAGCTCTATATTCGTAGAGTAACAGGCTTGCTTACCTGGAATATCCCATTGTCATAACTTCTGTCCGTGTTGGGTCCGCCCTTAGCTGCCGTATTCAGAGAGCTCTCATGCTGAGCTATACACACCCCTGTGAAAGAGATATGGAAAGATAAATGTCAGAATTACTGGGTTTTGGGGCTCTCTCCACCGTTAGGTATTCTAGAAAATATAAGACGCAACGTTTTGAGAACTGGATCTGTTTCAGTCCTCAGGCGAGGGGAAGGGGAAAACACTTACTCTGTTGGGTCCCGTAGAAAGAGCTAATCTCAGTCACTGGGGGAGGCACCTACTCTCTTTGGTTCCTCAGAAATAGCTAACCTCAGTCACTGGGGGAGACACCTACTCTCTTTGGTTCCTTAAAAAGAGCTAACCCCAATCACTGGGGGAGGCACGTACTCTCTTTGGTTCCTAAGAAAGAGCTGACGTCAATCACTGGGGGAAGAACTTACTCTGTTGGTCTCTTAGAAATAGCCAACGACAATCACCAGGGAGAGACACCTGCATTATCGGTCCCGCAGAAAAAAGCTAACGTCAGTCACTGGGGAGACACCTATACTCTGTTGCGTTCCTTAGAAATAGCTAACCTCAGTCACTGGGAGGAGACACCCACCCTATTGATTTCCTTAGAAAAATCTAACCTCAATCACAGGGGGAGACAACTACTCTGTTGCATCCCTTAGAAAGAGCTAACCTCAATCAAAGTATTTGTAATGAAGTCGTGTAAATATGGAGTTAATATCAAATGTTTCTGAGATATTTTTTGTCTCTTTCATCCGGGATAGATGTGATGATTGATGCGGTCGAACACTGTGTTTGTTCAAATGATCCGCTCCCAGAGCCCCGTGTTCTGTCCCAGAGTGAATTGATAAATGTAGCACACATTCTTAGTGTAACAAATCCATCTAGACCTGAGCAGTTGTAGTTGCTGTAGTGTGGATAAAAGTTTGTCGCTGATATGTCCTTAATGCAATAAGGGAGTGCCGAGAGCCACAAGCAATACAAATCCCAAGTCGAAGGAGTTCACAAAGATCAATACAAGCACAGAATAAACACATACATATACCAAACATATGTCTTGTTTGAGATTGCAACCCACGATTCCGGCTTCCGTGCTAGCGAATACTGTACATGCCTCAGACCGCTCGGATACCGTGAATGATATTCGCATAAAACGCTCATCAAATAGAGAGGGAAATGACGTAATTTGTGATATCTGCTTTCCCAGCGAATTTTACTTCAGAAGAAGAAGTTTTTTTTTTTTTGTCGGCAGGCTATGTGGTATGTTTGTACCATCTGTGTTTTGTAACATGTGTACGTTGAATATAATCAATTACGATTATCTTTACGTCTCAACTATAATTTTAAAATTTTCAGGTGTCTGCGAGTTGCCTTAATATTTCTTGGAGTGCTTTGAGTGAAAGCAAAATATTAAGGACATCACACCTAGAAGCATATCTACATATCCCTTGAAATAAATCTCTTAATCGCCCTTAGCTGATTAACTCACATGTTGCTAAATCGTTTTTTGCAACGTTGTGCTTCTTCAGCTCCTGCAGGAGTTGGCACTTAGTGAGGATCTTGGCGACGGACATATGAGCCGTCACAAGAAATAGGATCAGGCAAACACTGACTGCTCTCATTGTGGCGTTGTCCTGTAACAGAATAACTACACTGAAAGTGTCAATGAACTGCCCTGAAAATATAGACTGTCTCTATAAAAAAATGAAATAAGAAATTAATGCTTATTCAGCATGTACTTTAGTTAAGAATGCATTGTTTTGAAAAGTTCATATTTCTTATTTGATTGATAGAAGACCACTGCGGAAGAATATGGTAGAGTAGTTGACAATATTAAAATGAATCTTTGAGAACTAGGTTGTGCCGGTGTTGACTGGATTCTACTCAGGGATCAGTGACGGGCTGTTGTGAACAAGGTAATGAAATTTCGGTTCTATATGTGGCGGGGAATTTCATGACTGAGCGACTACCAGCTTTTCAAGAATCACTCTCCTCCATGGAATTGGTAATTTTATCTAGTATAGAAGAATTCCTGTTCGAAGAGTCGTGGCAGCATTTACACAGTTCTCGCCTGTGTTACGAATGGTAGTGAATATATTGAAACAATTCATTAATTAATTTGTGCTGAATGTGAAATTGAAAGTGCTAATACGTTTAGAAAAATATGCTGATTTAATGGACTAGGGTAATGATTGCTACCATTCAGTTCAGAGCCTTTTTTCTTCTCGTATGCTGTCTAAAAGCCTAAACATTAGAATATACAAAACTATAATTTTTCCTGTGGTTTTGTATGGGTGTGAAACTTGGTCTCTGACATTAAGGGAGAAACATACACTGAGGATATTTGAGAACAGGGTGTTGAGGAGAATATTTGGACCGAAGAGGTATGAAGTGACAGAGGTTGGAGAAAACTGCATAATGAAGAGCTTCATAACTTGTACTCATCTCAAAGTATAATTAAAATGACGAAGTCAAGGAGAGTGAGGTGGGCAATACATGTAGCACGAATGGGTAGAGGAGAAATGCATATATATTATATATGCGGGAAAGCCGGAAGAAAAGAGACCACTGGGAAGACCAAGGCGTAGGTGGGTGGACAATATTAAAATGTATCACAGAGGTATAAGTTTGGATAATATGGATTGAATTGATCTGGCTGAGGTTAGGGACCGTTGGATGGCTCTTGTGAACACGGTAATGAACCATCGGGTCTCATAAAAACTGGGAAGTTCTTGAGTGGCTGCACAACTGGCAGCTTCTCAAGAGTGGCTCAGCTCCATGAGTGAGTGAGTGGTCTAGAGGTGACTGACGTCTTTTGCAGCCCCGGGTGGTATAGAAGTTTCTGTATCTTAGAAAGCGTAAGTCTGACTTGCCTTAGATATGGGGTTGTCCTTCCAACGAATTCGAATATTTAACTTATGTATTGAATATAGTAACGTAACATTTCAGAGCAAACACATTAGAATAAATGAATATATGAGACAACTTACCTGTGAACCTGGCAGTGTTTCGAAGAGAAATATCTTGGTCCCTTTGGGCTTCAGGTATTTATAGCGCGGTTCAGTTTCTTGTTACGTTTATGTAAAAGCCTCTACTTAGCTTTCCTTGACGACAAATATGTCAGCTGTAAAACAGTATCCCATTTGTTCTTATGAACAATATCGCCTGTACGTCTTTTCTTCAAGTATATAAACATCATTAGTTCTAATTTGTAGGATAAATATATCAATAAGCAAATACGCAACTGAGTAATTAGATAACCATAGTTGACTGTGTATTAAAATACCCTAATTAAGGCACTTGTATAAGTGAAGCATTCAAGTCAAACAAGGCCACTCTTATTCCATTAGAGAGATCGTTGCCAAAATAATTAGAGTAAATATTTTGCATGAATATCCAGCTGCGCCACAATGGGAAGAGTTTGGTGTAATAATTATAATTTAATTACAACACCTGTCAGCCATAGGTAGTCCCCTTCTTTTCGGCATACATGTTGTGACATGTATGCCCATTAGGAGGCAAAGAGTAGGTAAAAAATTCCCACAACACAAACTCACTCGACAATAGGGCATCCATTGATAGGTAATGGATCAGTAGACATATATTCTTGGCTGTTTTCTGTGGTCCGTGCCGAGGAGTTATAAATGGTCACAGTCAGAACCACAGGGGTCGAATACCTCCACCGTGACCCTGCGAGTCGTAGGAGGCGACGAAAAGGGAAGTCTCAAATCTGAGACAGTTATATATGGTCTCGAGTTTCAAGGGACTAGGGCCCGAGAAAGACCGTGCTGGCAAGGGCCAACAGCATATGCAAAAGACAGACCCGTCCTCTCGTCAGAGAGAGCGCCCCACAAAAACAAGACCGTAAATGCCAAACCGTAATAAATATCTGTTATGAGCCCCAGATGGGACTCGACACCAAGATTTACTGACTGACTGACCGTCAGTCGCAATGTCACTTGGACTTGGACTTGGACATATGCTTCATGTTGGATATATTTTTTTCGGAAAATCTTGAATGCGCTACTTGAATTACAAGTATTTTTGGTTATCGTCTTATTTCCAAGGCCTTTTGACTCATAAGATTCCATGCTTTAACTTTTTTCGAATTACGTATAATCTTCGGACCTACTTAAGAGGGAATGTTATAAAGCAACAAGCCACTGTAGAACCTGGAGATATAACAAATAACTCCTTAAGTGATATGTAAAATCTCTTTAAAGATGCAGTTTACTGACAATCAGTTTGTCTTGGGGACAGGCCCCTTGAGACCCACTACCAAAGATTTCTTTTTTGCAGCGGAACCCTTGCAGTCATAGTTCTTTTGTAATATATTTTCTGAATAGAAGACGTGATTATATAAGCCCTATGCTACACCGACGGTCAGTCGGCCAGTTTGTCTTGAAAAAACGCACCCTTCTGGGGCTTAAGACCAGATTGTTATTACTGTCAGACTGTTACAGTTATGTTGATGTGGGGCGTTCTCTCTGACCATAGGTCAGGTCTGTCATTTATAATTTCTGTGTGCCATCGTCAGCACAGTCATTTTCGTGTCCGAGTCCCACAGGTCTCGTGATCATATTTTACTGTCTCAGATTCGAAAGTTCCATTTTCGTCGCCTCCTACGACTCGCAGGGCTACGGTGGAGGTATTCGACCCCGCCTTTACACAGTTCTTCTTTCCATGGGTTTATCTATAGATTTGGGCCGCGACATAGCTCAAGCGGTTAGTCGCTGGCTTCCCACCGCGGTGGCCCGGGTTCGATCCCGGGTCTGGTCAAGTGGGATTTGTGGTGGACAAAGTGGTGCTGGGGCAGGTTTTCTCCGAGTCCTTCGGTTTCCCCTGCCACTCTTCATTTCATCAGTTGCTCTACAATCACCCTCACCTATCATCTGGGGCTGGTACACTAGGCCAGAAGTGGCCGCAGTACAAGGGACTTAGTCCCACCCCACTAGCAATAAGAAAAATCTATAGACTTGTCCTGCTTGTAACATATCGGTACGGACCGCGTAGAAAATACCGCTTCCATTATTTTTGTATCCAACTAATGCCGTAGATTTGTTGCGTTCGTGTCTGTTAGCGGAGCTGTTACTTATTAACGGCTGTTGTATATTTGCTTATTTCTCTGTCGTTGCATAGCAATGGGTCTACATGTCACAATATTGTATTGTCCTTGAGATCACTGTCGTCTGTGATGTTATACCGTGTAACCTGACAGATCGTTACCGCAGTTACATCCCAGATGGCAGTGATTTTCATAATGACCACAGTGAGAACCTTAAACCTCACATCATTCAGCCCTGTCTTCTGATATGATCGGTCTGCAATATTGTTCCTTTGTTACGGGTGTATAGCTTAACGTGACTGTTACAGGGTGTCCTATTAGAAATTCAACGGGAGATTTGAGGAAAGACACATGTAACATAATTTGTAGAGTTAATTTTGTCGATGTACGTACATTTTATGTTAAAACAAGAGGCGAGATAACTCTTTGAGTACCTAATTTATTTGATTATACGGAGTAAATATCATTGAAATCCCATAAAATTCTGTCATGTGTGACCAGATACTAAAGGAAACTTCACGATTTGTGTGTATGAATAAATGATTTAAAAATTCTAAGTCATAAAATTTTTATAAAGATTTAAAACTGAATGTAAATTAAATTTAATTGATGGCGGCGGCTGATAACCACAACTTTCATGATAAATTCGCACCTTTCGAACTTGTTTCCTCATACATTTATGGCTGACATTCTTGAAAAATTAAAAATATATTGCAGCCTGTTGGAAATACTGATAAAAGAAGGTGTTGGCATTCTATGCAGTCATTTGGTATGAAGACATAAGTGAGACTGTGAATATGACCCAGTATCAAATGAAGTTCATGAGGTTCATATACAGAGGACTGAATGCATATAGGAAATTGGTGGGAAAGCCACAATGAAAGAGACCACTGGGAAGACCAAGACGTAGGTGGGTGGACAATATTAAAATGGATGTTAGAGAGAGAGGATGGGATGGTATGGATTGGATTTGATCTGGCTCAGGATATGGACCAGTGGAAGGCTCTTGTGAACAGAGCACTGAACCTTCGGGTTCCATAAAATGCTGGCAAATTCTTGAGTAGGTGCAGAATTTGCGGCTCCTCCAGAAGGGCTTAGTTCCATGAGTAAGTAAGTAAGTAAGTAACATAGAGGATTGTATTGCCTTGAAATGTCACACTACATCTATCGGTTGACGATTTTTAAGTCTCTACAGCCAAAATTCCAGTGTAGTACCTCCAAATATGCTATTACTTATTCCATCTAGATATTTAATTGTTCATATTCTTGGTAAACCATAGGTTCTCGAATGATGTTCTATAAGAATTGTTCAAAATTTGGGCTATCTTGACATTTTATAATTGGAACGAATGAAGTAATTTCAAAGTGGAGTAGGCATTTCAGGTAAAAATATGAGACTGTGAGTCATCCATTTTCACATTGGTAGTGTTTGCTTATGTTTAATTCGTCTAGGGGGCAGAAAGTTATATTTTGAACATTTATGATTAAAATTGTGTAAGCCACTTGAAACTAGTTTTCCTACTGTTCTGGCAACCAGCCACATCACTTGCCATCCCCTTGCAATAGATTACACAGCATGAAAAGAAAAATTTAAATATTAAGAAGAATTTTTAAAAATAGTTCTAATGTACATTTTCAGTTATTTTTAGATTTCTTGAAAGTCAAAAAAAGAAAGAGATAGCTATGGTTTTAGCACATTCCTTGTTTCCCACTGCCAACTACAAAGAAAATGTGGGAGTCACACAGCTGTTATATCAGTCTTCTAACTTTGAATGGAGAAGCCTGTTATGAGTGCAAATTTATTATATTGTGATGTCATAATTGAACAGTTACATGTTTTTTTTTATTGCTAGTGGGGTGGGACTAAGTCCCTTTTACTGTGGCCACTTCTGGCCTATTGTACCAGCCCCAAATGATAGGTGAGGGTGATTGTGGAGCAATTGGTGGAATGAAGATTGGCAGGGGAAACCGAAGTACTTGGAGAAAACGTGCCCCAGCGCCACTTTGTCCACCACAAATCCCACTTGACCAGACCCGGGATCGAACCAGGGCCGCCGCGATGGGAAGCCAGTGACTAACCACTTGAGCTATGGCGCGGCATCAGTTACATGTTACTGTATGTCAACTTTCCATTCTGAATCCTGGATTAGAGAACGATCGTGACAGTACTCAGCAACTGTCGCAAACTTCATGTCATGGTTTTACTCAGTTTCTCCAGGAAATCATGGATATGTAATGCCTTCAATAGGCCTCTATTGTCTCTTTTCAAATCGTATCTTCTCACAATTGATGTGCATGGCTTCTATTTGGGAGGTACATGGTTTGACTCTTGTCTGTTGTAATTGCAAGCTTTCATTGTTTTTCTTGTTTTTTCCATATTATTGAAGGGTGAGGAGTTTGGCACTGTGGGGCATGATAAAAGTTGATTCTACTGAAAAATAATAAATTAATAATACTGTATTAGGGCTTTCTGTTTCATTAGTTGGGCACCTTATATATGCATAATTCAGTCTTGTAAATGAAACACTTGGTAGATTATTGGTTAAACTTCAGTTATTCTATGTTTCATATATATGTTTTATTACATGTTGCAACCATAAATGTTACTTTGAAGTATAGAGGAAAGAAGGAAAGTAGATCCTGCTATTTCTGGAATTGTGGGTAAAATACTGTGCATTTTAAACAAATGTTAATTTATCTCATTTTGCTATTCATTTTAGAAGAACACATTACTTAAAACAAATGTAATGTTACACCTACTTGAATAATTACACACAGAGCTATGAAGAGGTCACTACATAACCAAATTTTAAAATCTATACATATTTAAGTAACAGGGATGCACCATGGTAGATGTATACTGCTGTTTTATGGAAACATACTGCCACTGCCTCTGGAGCAAAAAGAGTGTACAGCTTGCTGATACTGCATCATAGGTCCAATGCAGTATCTCTCATATGTGGTCCATGCCACAAATCCCTGTCTGCTCTTGATGTGCAAAGCACATCGGATAGCAGCATCCAGATTGTCACTGCGGAGTGCTGGAAGAAACGTATTGAGGATGTCAGGCTTTATTTCAATACATGTGAGAGCTCCATTGTATACTGAGGAGATTTTGATTGAATTTTTAATACAGTATATAAGCTTAATTTCTGTCTTATAAGAAATTGCACACCCTAGGCTTACACCACCTTTATGGTGGTCATTGCTCATATTGCGAGACACCTCTATAGTTAATGTTCATGATGTGTCCGGAAGTGATTCTGCTCTCAGCTTAACATCACTGGGTGTCACTGGGCTTTAATGAGAGTACTTTAAATATCTTCTTTGGCAGTGCAATAACAACCAATTACTTGATGACAGGAGTTGAATAAATGTCTTCTATATCAGCTATGCTTTTATATCCAATACAATATTGATATAATGAACGAACTGTTGTCACAAAGCTCAGGGAATTACATTACATGGAAACCATTGTTCACATTATTACTATCTACAGTGAGACCTCGAATGAAGTTTATAGTAGAAAGACAATATTTTGTGTAACCATTTGTAAATTTTGCGTTTGACAGGTGTTTTAAATGGTACGTAATTATTCAGCATTCGGAGGAGAGATTTCTGTCATATGTTTCTGTCAAGTTGTGTCACATATTAGAAGTTTTGCAGCACACTCCTGAAACCGTTGGTCCTTTGTCAGTTTATTTTCCATCTTATTGCTTGGAAATAATTATATCAAAAACGAAGTTTTAGATATAATTTTCGATTTCCTGTAGACCTACCTTACTCCTAAAAGTAAAAGTTCTTTTCTGGGAAGCATTTCTTAAATAAACATTAGTATCTTCTGCAATTTCACCTTAATGCAAAATGTGCTTGAAATAACAATTAAGACACTAACGTCTGTCACATGTTTATGTATACAGAAGAGTGCTATATTCTAGGACGTGATACCATGCATCCTGTTGAAATTAACTGAAGTTCCATAGGAATGTTCGGCTCCATCTTTAGATTCAAAGAGAAGCCAAGCTGTCAAGAAACAAGCAGCAGTTTGTTACCTTGAAACGTCGGTAAAATTCAACGAGATTATGCGATGTCACGTCTCAGGCAAGAGCATTCTTCATTGGCAACATCATGACAACCTCAGATCCAACATCTTTACATTCCTTTTAATCGTCATACAAATTCGTCAGTCTGAAGTAAATTTTAAATTGAACAAAATGAACTGGACTTGTAATCCCGACGTGTATTTTAAAGAAGTCTTTTGACTAAGTGACACTGCGGTAGCAGAATATGTATATTCAGCGCTGTTAGTACTAAAACATATGATTTTTAGCCGTCTGCTACAATAAAAAGCCAAATGAGTTACTTCGTAAGTAATAAAAAGAACAGCTTTCTGTTTCCATTCTATGACGTATCCTTCATTAGTCATGCAAAGATATTATGTTTGTCGATAATAGAGCACACTACTCGACCATAGGTGTGCTCCACAGCATTCTAGCTGTTCGTTGTTTCCGTATTCACTATACTGCGTCTTTTCACCATTTTATTCTTGGTATAACAGGCAAGGAGTTTGAAGCAATAAATAAGAAGTTCTGGGAAGAACCAATCGCCTACTTTTCTTTCACATGATACGGACCGCAAGGAAAACGATGCCTGCAACAATTCTTCCTTCACGCGAGAGTATCTTTACTGAGTTTTAACCTAGTACCGACGAAGGGACACACAGACACACCCAGAGACACGTGTATCCAATAATTCTTCTATTGTTGGGTGTATTCTTTGGTGCGGGGACGTATTTACCTAGCCGTTACCAAGAAACGAAAGGAGGAATACAGTTTACCGAATCTTTGCCTAGCAACGATAAGATGGCTACACATACAGACACACAGACTGATGGGAGGGATCTTTGAAATACGCCGTTGAGATGGGGTCAGGTGCCATGATATAAATACACAACTTTACAAGGATTGATTCGGGCATTCAAAAATTTATAGGGGGATTCACATACACACAGACAGCATAGTGATATGATAATCCTAGGCTGAAAACAATTAAAGTGACATATTTATGCGCCCAGTGGTTAATATCCCATTCTAAAACTAATATCCGTAAAAATAATCCGGTTCCCCACACCCTCTACTTAATTAGAAGGGGAAAATGATACTAACTACTCCGAAGTCACATGTGTTTAAACAGAACTGAAAATGACGTAAAATATGGAAACGCTCCGTCTAAGAAATATTTTTCGATGTCTTTCCATGAATCATGAGGTGATATACCACATAGATTCTAAAGGGTTGATTCTGCCGATGGTGTATAACACTCGCAGTTACTGGGTTTTTGAACTTCATTCATTGTCCGGTATCCCCCTAAAAAGAGAGAGAGAGCACAGCGTTTCGGAAATTGTTTCTGTTTCCGTTCTTACGCTCCCCATACACACACACTTTCGCCTTCCGATCGACCTTACAGGCAAAACTGTGACAGTTTACCCCCTCCCTTTCCTCCCTATACACGCGCAGATAAAGCGGCAGGCTTCATGCCGCAATCACGGTCTTCCAGCCTATAATGTTGAGTCACACACGTCACGTGCTACCGTCCTGCAGGCAGAACTGACGGACTGACGGGTTTCCCACAGGCCAACAGTCCAAACGATTGGCCGGCCGGCCGCACCACACACGTCAGTTTTGCCTTTCAGTCTTCAACTGTGCAGGCCGAACTGGAGGCCAAACTGTGTGTGTATGGGGGCCCTTAGGTGTGGGCCTGGGAGACACCTACCCTGTTGAGTTTCTTCGAAAGCGCCGATCTCCAGTGACTGAGGTTAACTCTTTCTACGGGACCCAACAGTGTAGGTATCTCCCCCAGTGACTGAGTTTACCTCTTTCTAAGGCACCCAAAAGAGTAGGTGTCTCCTTCTCACTTAAGGAAAAAAAAAGATCCAGTTTCCGAAATGTAGTGTTCCCTAGTTTCTCAGAATACTGGACGATGGGCAGAGCCCCAAGACTTAGTAATTCTGAGTGAGGCAACATATTTATGTTAGCGTTACCTCAGATTTTTCAGAAACAAGTGAGAGCAAATCAAAGCATTGATTATTCTTTATTCGAATCTTGCTTTAAGGAAAATATAAAGAGGGCATAAAAAGTTTCAACGTAAATTCTGATGATATTTTAAATAACCGTGATATATAAGAAAGTTCCTTCCAGTCGCACTGTGGCCCTGGGGTCGACTCAGCATCTAATAGAAATGAGTACCAGGAATCAACCTGGGGGTAGAGGGCGGCCTGTGCGTAAGGCTGACAACCTTACCGCCATCTGTGACCCCATTTTCTAGAGAAAATGTGGGAGCCCCGACGTCTCACATTCCTATGAGACTATACGGCCTGTTACAGGGATAACTTTACCTTTTCACCATTTTTACATGAAAGTTCATTTCGGTTTCGATGTTACTTTGTGAAATATTATAGTTTTTCGTTTTAACTGACTTTGAATCGTCCGACCATCATCTCATGTCACAGACAAAAGTACACGAGGCAAGATGGCTCAAAATATAACGCTTATGGCTTGTTTGCGGAAGGCTTCCGGTTTCAATTTCGACCTGGAAACAAATTAACCTGACGGAAGGTTTATTTGTAGTTTTCATGAGTCTGTATGTGCGAATGACGGGATACTGCCTTAAATAGACCATGCTTTATTAGTTCCAAATCGTTGAAGTTCACCGAACACGTCGTCCAAATATAGAATTCGACGAAAAATTATTGCAGTTGGTACAGCGTCATCAAATATCCAGCCATCCGTTCGCTGAGTCCATGCCTTGATTACTCGTATATGTTTGCATCGTCACTTACAGTTGTGGAATTAGGATGAACGGGGTCCATAAAGAATGTGACTAACGAGGAACTGGGTTTAGATTGGGCAACCCCAAGAGATTTGCTCTTCTTCATAGCGCCTATATGGGCTTTAAGGCCCACTCAACGTCCTGTCCAATGGGAAGGAAGTTCTTTCAACTGAGGTAAAACTGCCGCAGTCTGAGGCTGACTACTTACCTCCATCTAGTCTTACCACCACTTCTCTACATGTATTCATGGCGGACTGCTTAATTAACCATAGAAAGAGGTTGTAGGCTTATTTACATACATGGGCTTCAAGAGATGATAATACGCGCTAGCAATATTTGACCTACTTGAAAAATGAACTGCAGTAACCAAACATTGTCTGGATCAGTACAGTGGGCACTCACCTGCACAATTAATGTTGCAACCTCCGCCTACGCCGTGTTCTCTGCACCAATATCTGTCGTTGATCTGAAAACAAATGATCAAGAAGAAAATTAAGATCTTAAAGTTCGTGACGATGTTACTTTGATACAAATATTATGTTCTTGCATATTCCTGTGTTTGATTTATGTACCCCTTCTTGAAACTGGTATAGGTGTCCGGAGATAGGGGCTAGCTTTATCGATTTGGCCAAAGAAAAGTTCGGAGATAGGGACTTGCTCAATCTGTTGGGCCCAACTGAATAGGTTTTACCTGAAGACGGAGGCAGAATCCAGTCTCCGAAACGTTGTGTTTTGAAAAATAAACACGACGGTTTATAGGTAGAGACAAGACGATGGGTAATGTCCAAAAACATTTGTAAGAAGAAAATTATAAAGTATATTGGGAGACAAAAGCATAGATGAAATGTTAGACAAATAGGGTGTGAGGTTGTGAAATACACTGATGTGACTAAGGGTAGATGCTAGTGGCTGTTTCTTGTGAACAAGATAATGAATCTTGACGTTCCATGGAAGGCTGAATGTCTGAGGAACTATTGGCTCCTGAAGAAAGAACGTTTTCACAAATCAGAGTGCGTATACTCAGCTATAAATTTGTAGATAATACACTTGCTTACCTGAAAAATTCCATGGTCTTTGCTTCCGTCCGTGTTCAGGGTGCCAATGGCTGCAGTGTCCAAATTGCTTTCGTGCTCGGCAATGCAGAGCCCTGATAGAATAGACATATAATTGTAAGAGGGACACGTGGCATGTGAAATCGGAATTCTCATCGAAATTTGCTATTAAAGGAATGTCATTATTGAAAAAAATTCTTCGTGATAAACTTCGACTGTCTATGTCTTGTAAGGTGTTTAAGTAAAATAAAACCAGCTGTGATTACGTTGATGTCCCGAATTTGAATTTAAATATGATTCCGGTGCGTAGAATATACCTTGAAGTGTTACGATGTTCTGTGAGCCAAACATACTCACATCCGCACCCCTTACCCCACATTAGTGTGCGGTAGTGTAGTTGGTTGAGGCATTATTCTACAAGCCGTAAGGTCGCGGATTCGATTCCCGATGAAGTCGCTGAATTTTTCAATTGGTCTAATCCTTCCAGCCGCACTATGGCTCTAGGGTCAGCTCAGACTCTAAGAGAAATGAGTACCAGGAATCTTCCTGGGGGAAAAGGACGAGAGACAGACCGGCGCGTAAGGCTGACAACCTCACCGCCATCTGTGAGCCGATTGTCTAAATAATGTGAAAGCCTCGATGTCTCACAAACCTATGGTTTCCACGGCCTGTCACAGGGATAGCTCCTTTTTTAATTTTTATGCATTTTGATTACTGCAAGTGCACAGTTTTAGTATTTCACGTACTATTAATAATGTTATAGTCTTATGACAGAAAATCACATTAGAGATTTCGTTAAAGGAAGTACACAGGTTGTAGACAACTAGGGTTCTATGTGATTTGTCAGCATCTGGGGGTGATATGAAAATTCCTTAGGATGTGTGACGACACCCATAAGGACTATCTATAAGAGGAGGAAAATTAAAAATTGGTGCGTGATCAGCCAATCAAAGCTATTAGACACTTTTACGAAGAAAAGGGCAGGAACGTATTTAAACATTGTGTTTTGGAAGTTAAGGGATTTATTGAGAGAGGTAGCTCAATGTAAACGGAACGCGGAACATTAGTCCGGGGAGGACAGCCAGCTCAGTCACTACGAGTGTTGTGTACGAACAAGTTGTAGGGACCACGGAAGCAGAGATGAAGAACTGTTTTGCATAAGTAGACATGTGTTCATCCCATTAGCCAGCTCTACAAATTTAGTCACTGCGCGGGGGACATGCATGTTTAAACCAGATAGACTTCTGTTAACCTATTACTTGTCAAGAACATTCTTTGGGCTTGTTTCATATATTTACTTATTCCTTTTGTTTGTTTACTTAATAGATTATAAGGTAACTTCTTTACCGAAGAACTGAAGTATTTCATTTGGTCAGGGATTCAGAGGTTGATGGCCAATGCTATCAGACCCTGATCACTCCTAACCTCATCCTACCTTGGATCCTAGCAGGTGAAGAAACTAGTAACATCTTATTTAGAAGGAGCTCGCATTCAGATATCTGTTCTCTTTGAAAGGAATGTCTTAATTTTTCATTTGCAGATTTCGTCCATCTATAATGCAGCAATATTAATATTAATCCACGTTTAACTCACTAAAATGTTCTTCAAAACGTTTAAAATGTAATTGAAATATACATATATTCTGTTACAGGAGGTTGGAGAAAACTGCATAATGAAGAGCTTCATAACTTGTACACTTTTCAAAGTATAATTAGAATGATCAAGTCAAGGAGGATGAAGTGGGCGGGGCATGTAGCACGAATGGGGGAGACGAGGAATTCATATAGGATATTGGTGGGAAAACCAGAAGGAAAGAGACCACTGTGAAGACCAAGACTTGGGTGGGTGGACAATATTAAAATGGATTTTAAAAAGAGATAGGATGGGATGGTATGGATTGGATTGTTCTGGCTCAGGATAGGGACCAGTTGAGGGCTCTTGTGAACACGGTAATGAACCTTCGGGTTCCATTAAATGCTGTGAAATTCTTGAGTAGCTGCAGATTTGGCTTCTCCTCAAGAAGGGCTCAGCTCCATAAGTAACTAAGTAAGTAGGGCCGCGCCATAGCTCAAGCGGTTAGTCGCTGGCTTCCCAGCTGGCCCGGGTTTGATCCCGCTTCTGGTCAAGTGGGATTTGTGGTGGACAAAGTGACGCTGGGGCAGGTTTTCTCCGAGTACTTCGGTTTCCCCTGCCAATCTTCATTCAACCAATTGCTCCACAATCACCCTCACCTATCATGTGGGCTGGTACAGTAGGCCAGAAGTGGCCGCAGTACAAGGGACATAGTCCCACCCCACTAGCAATAAAAAAAAGAAAGTAAGTAATATATTCTCTCTTAGGCGCTACATGTTTCGGCCTCACAGGGCAACACATTTTTTTAAGGAACCCACTTCACTGCGCACTGTATCAGTAGTATTCTTAATGTGAGTCGATATTATGTTTATGTTATGGGATGTCTGTTCTTCCTAACCCCGCACTGAAGCCCCTCTGTGAGCCAATGAGCGGCATCTACATAAGATACAACGAAGCGGAGCAGCTCTGTGCCCCACTGAATGGCCTCAATACGGGAATATGAAGAACAGACATCCCATAACATAAAAATAATATCGACACACATTAAGAATACTATTGGTACAGTGCACAGCGAAGTGGATTCCTTAAAAAGTGTGTAGCCTGAGGATGGCCAAGTGAGGCCGAACAATGTAGCGCCAAGCAAAGAATATATGTATATTTTAATGACATTTTAAACATTTTGAGGAACATTCTAGTGTGTTAAATGTGGATTGGAGTCATCTGAAGCTATATTGAAATTGTTGCATTTAAGATGGACGAATACTGCAAATGATACTTCAATGCAACAGGACGTTGAAGTATAATATCTTGATCTTTGCTAGTTGTTACACTCACATGTTGCCAGATCATATTCCGGAACACCGTAGTTCCTAAGCTGCATCAGGAACTGTTGCTGCGTCAGGATCGTAGCCAGTGACGTATGAGCCGTCATAATAATTAGGATCAGGACACTGCCTGCTCTCATTTTCAAGTTCAACTGTAACAGATTAGTTGTATAAAACATTTCGATTAATTTCCCCGAAAACATAGACTCTCTGTGTAAAAATTAAATAAAAAAGGCACGTACATATAAATTAAAAAGTGAAATTTTCGGGAGAGGTATTTTAAGTATGAAAGACGGCGTTTTCAAACAGTCACAATTTCTTATTTCATTGAAAAAAAAATAGAGATTACTTTGGAGAACTTGAGCAGATTGCAAGATAATATGAAAATGGAGTCTCGGGAACTAGGGTGTGCTCATGTGGAATGGTTTTTTGCTAATTTGCGATATTGCTCGTTGGTGGGTCCTTGAGAAAATTGTAATGAAATTTCGGTTCAGTATGTGGAGTAGGAATTTCGTGACTAAATGTGTGACTGCCATAATCTCCAGGACACTGCTTCATGGAGTCGGTGATTTCTGCCGCATGTATAACATTCCAATTCAGATTGCAAGGACAACATATACACAAGTCTCGCATGTTTTATGAATATTAGTGGAAATATTGAGAAAATAATTAAACTAAGTTATGTTGAATGTTAATTTCGAAGTCGTGATACTGTTGGAAATATGTACCAGCTTAGCGATATAATGACGGAGGACGTCTGTCTCCGCACAAAATGATACGGAAATTGCTGAGCCTTAGAAATAGAATTTCTGAATTTCAAAATGAGAATTTTAGAAAGAATAAAAGCATAATTTAACTTACCTTTTATCCTGGCGATAGCTGGAACAGAAATGCCTTGGTTACTTAGGGCGTCACATATTTATAGTGCAGACAAACGTGTCAGTTGATCTCAGTTTTCCTCAAGTTATGAGAATTATCCGGCTTTTCATTAAATGACTCATTAGATACGACCGAATTTATCTTTTCGCACCAGGAATTTGATCCGTCGCTATCTTTGTGTTAAAGGTCAGGTACTTGTGACATGTTGTTGAAAGTGCCTGAAATGGAATGGCATTTTGACAGTATATACAGGGTGTTTCATGACTTTAGGGCATAACTGCAGGAGGTGATTTCCTAGGTATTTGTGATCAAAAAAGTTCATATAAACATGTGTCCGATTTTGGACGGTTACGGAGTTATGACCGTTTATTCATTTCCGTACACGCCCTCGTATGAACCGCGTCTATCATCTGACGGGTCGCTATTTTTAGCCAGTTACAGACAGAGCGTTCTCGACACTTGAGAGCTACCTAAGGCGGGGTGGGTTGGTATGTCCGGCGCGGTTCACAACCGAGCGGGAGCCTGTGTTGCGGCCGGCGGTGGCATTTTCGAAAATCAGCTTTAAATACCAATAAATTCAAATTAAATGTAATTTCACGAAGTTAATTTTACACTCATACTTTAAATGTATAATGTATTATGCTGGTTTATTATTTTGTTCCGGTTATTGTCAGTAATCGTTACCTTCTATTCTGAGTTTAAAACGGTCATAACTCCGTAACCGTCCAAAATCGGACACATGTTTATATGAACTTTTTTGATCACAAAGACCTAGGAAATCATCTCCTGTAGTTATGCCCTAAAGTCGTGAAACATCCTGTATAAAAGACTACACTAACCTCTTGAGTACTAGGATTTCAATTCCCAGACACACCCCACAGCATAAGCTTTTCGTGTCTTTTAATGCTGTGATAAATTACTTTGATAATAAGTTATTATTTCACTCTTTTTGTGTTCGAAATTTATGAAACCAAAGGCAGATGAAACAGCATAATTTATTCTCTCTACATATATTTTATTCCATTTTGCACTAATATTGCGAATTGCATAACTTGTGAAATGATCACCTGCTATTTGCTTTCTATGCGTGTTAGCGTCTTCCGAAACAATTCACTCTTTCGAAACATAGACTGAAACATATTACGTGGAATGTAAAAGGAATATTTCCTTGTTCTCTATAAGGAGTGTTTCTTATCGCTGAACGTTATATCTATAGCCGGCCTCTGTTTATCATGCGCAAACAGTCAATTCAGCTTAGTACTCGTACATTTTTAGATATTCAAGCTGCTTAGATTAGATTTACATGATAGAACGTACTCATCTTCACAAAACTGCCCTCCTGGAGTTGATCTATATTGAAAGAAACACGAAAAAGCACTATTTATATTGTGTAAGATTTGAGATTTTCACTGCGATGACTATGAAGAATGCCGTCTTCTGGGCTGTGGCGCCGTGTAGATCTTGTGTGAAACGAGATTCCTCCGAAACGTAGGAGAAACGTCGGTTCACACAAGATCTACACGACGCCACATCCCAGATGACGGCATTCTTCGCTATTTATATTATTTGTACTTTATTTAAGTTCTATACCCATTTGTAACTTATTTATTGACTTACCTACTTACATTACTGTAACCGAAAACATATGTTTTGTGTAGCTTTTAAGTGCAAGTTGTGAGCAAAGTTATGAAGTTGAATACAGGTATCTCTGACGGAAACAGATTTTTCTTTAAAATTTACCCACCTTCATCTTTCCTAAACACAAGTGTTCTATGTATGTTATAATTCACAGTGTCCATTGCATTTCAGTAAGGAGGCGTTGGACTGTTGTAAATGAAATGTTCATACTTTAACGTACACTGGTAAGGAACTTTCTCCCGATGGATATGAGTAGAGTGATATAAACTCGGTTAAAAAAAAACAACGGAGTAATAACCTTTACAGTACAAGCGATCAGGTTGCAAAAGTATTTATTGCTATTCTTGTGAACTAGTGGTTCTGAGAGGAGCACTTCACATAGGCTGGTGCTATTATAGCATAACTTCTTACCGATATTACTCTCGGCGCTGGCGGCGGCCATATTGTATCATGAGTCTTGCAGCTGCGTAGAGATGGCAGAAGTACTGCTTTTGTGACATTACGGCGGCCAAGTTGCCCGCCAATAACATTTTGTTGCCAGGGGTGATAAGTCTCTCACACACCAGAGCGATCGCGGTGGCGGTCAGATATTTCCTGCTGAACCTACAGACGCTTTCAGACAGGCAGCGATTTTGCGGGCAGCGTTCCGGACAGTGCAGCGTTCTACTCCGCGGTAGAGATCAGATGCAGCTTGTAGAGTTTGACCGCTGCCCGCGTCGCTGTGTATTAGCATGAACAATGAGTACAACAACAGAGCAACTTATTGAAGAAGTAAAATTACATAATATCTCCCTTAATTAGGTCCAGTAGATCATCAAAGCATTCCGTTGGCATCCAAATGTAAATATAGAATCGTTCTTCATGTTGCCGCAGTTGCCGATATAAAGTATGAAATTCTCCTTCATGTTCACGAAGCAGATTAAGGTCGTGAATCCACGTTTTCTTACGCTTCTTTCTGAAAAATATATTAATTGTGATGTTAATATTTGTAATAACTTCTCAAATTTCTCCAATTGTACACAATAAAATGAATAATTACCTTCCTTGCTGCTGCTCCTCATCATCAACTAACGCTGCCAAAAGTAACGCTTCTTCCAGACGAGATAATCGATGCATCATTTACGCTGTTGTGCTTACATGACTTTTCAAACTGATCGCCACCGCAACCGCGTTGTTGGTGTGAGAAGACTTTATCGCCACCTCCACCGCCACCACGATCGCTCTGGTGCACTCTGGTGTGTGGGAGCCTTAGGTTGGTAATTGGTAGCGGTTGGTAGGTAATGTAGTCGCAGAGGGGAATGTGTACCGATGAATATTAATTAGGTCAATGATTTCAATAACTGCTTGTGCTGTATTGTATATAATCTTATTTATATCAATTGTATGTTCGTGAAAGTACAAGTTTTCGTAATGTATTGAAAATTCGCACATTTCCATCGAAAATGGACGCAGGAGAAGAAAATTATATTTCCAAAAAGTGCGGTATTCGTTTTTCTCCACCTGCATTGATATTGGTGTATGAAGACAAAGTAAGAAACAACGAATTACGAAAGCGTGTAATGCCCATTCGTAACTTTCGAACTAGTTCCAGTGTAAATTTTGTGGCTCAAGATCTGAAACTCAGGCATGAAAAAATAATGCAGTCTGTTTCAACTATGCAGGTAGAAAAGATGTTACGAGTGCTGCAAGAACACATGAAAGGCACGGAATTATTGGAAGCGGTGCAGATTGTAAGCAAGGAATTTTCTGTTGGGTCTGATGAAGATCTAAATAAACTCGGAGACGATGTATTACGGAGGAAAAAGGAGATTATGGATCAGACTTTTAAGAAAAACCAAATAAAACCCCAGGATCCTGAATTTGTTTATGATAAACAGATAGACTTTGATCAAAATGCAAATGAGAAAGTAGAATCAGGTTGGGATGCTGAAGATAATGACGACCTATTCTGGAATTGAACCATTAGCAATACAGTTCATTCATTTATTCATTCATGCATTCGTGTTTATTAATCCTATAGATCAGATTATACTGATGTAGGACATGTCATATAATATTATAAAATTAGCAAAAACACAATAATTCTTAACGAATAGCTAACAAAATATGTAACAGCTGTTTACCTCTAGCATGTATCATTATCCAGTGTTTAAGAATTTATCATTCATATAGTCTTAAATTGAGTAGTAACACCCATTAATGAGTAAATTCTTCAGTTCCCTTATAAATGGTTTTCATGTTCAAGTTGTTTTATATTAGCTAATTTATTATAAAAGATACAACCAGCAACTGAAGGTTTATTGTTATAAAGTTCTAAGTTATGCACCCATTTATGGTAATCATTATTGTTTCTTGTATTGTGTGTGTGTACTTGTTTATTTACCATACAATTACACTTATTTATTACATATAAGATGGTTTGTTGTATGTACAACGAATATACTGCTAATATCTTAAGTTTTTTTAAAATGTCTCTGCATGATTCCAAAGGTTTTAACCCTGCAATGTACCTTACTGCTCTTTTTTGGAAGAATAAACATTCTTTTAGTAAGTGCCTTAGTACTTTGTCCCCATACTACAATACCATATGTTAGAAAGGGATAAATCAAACCATAATATAACATTCTTCTACCCTTTAGGTCGAGTATTTTAGCAAGTCTGTTAATTATGAATAAATTGCGGCAGGTTCTATCAATATAAACTTCCCAGCATAAGGTGCTGTCAGTTACTACCCCCAAAAAGTTTATACTTTTTACATTCTCTATTTCCATATTCTTAATTAAGATTTTATGTTTATGATCCTGCCTATATTGCTTTGAAAAAAAAGTGCAGTGCGTTTTGGTTGGGTTTATGAATAAATCATTCATCTCTAAGTATTTCTCCACATCTCCAATATTAATTGAAGTTATATATTGGAGTTCATTTATATCTTGTCCCATATTCAGTATTGATGTGTCGTCTGCATGCATTATGGATCTACCTTGTGTTAGATGAGGAAAGTCATTTATATATAAAATAAAAAGTAATGGACCAAGGACAATAGTGTGCGTTTCCTACTTCCTCATGCCAATGGAAGCCCTGAGGGACTCCACATTTAATTGGAAGGCTACTCGATAAATATTCCTTCATTTCGTTGATTTCTATATGTGCTACTTTCACCTGTTGTCTTCTATTTGCTAGATAGGATTTAATTAACATGTGGAGTACCACAAACGCCATATTTATATAATTTATCCATAAGAATGTTATGTTGAATACAATCAAATGCTTTTGATAAGTCTAGTGATATTCAGTTACATTTTGTTTTATGATTCAAATTATCTGTTATGTTTTCAATAACTGTAGCAATGGCATCATTAGAAAAATTGTTTTTCCTAAAACCAAACTGAAATTTATTTAATATATTATGTTTATCAAGGAGAGCTGTTAATTGATTAACTGATACTTTTTCCAAAACCTTAGAGAAAGTAGGGACAAGTGTGATTGGGTGATAATTAGTTGCATCCTCCTTAGTCCCCCCACCTTATATATAGGGGATATATAGATGGAAAAATGCCATCTCAAATTGAAGCATTAACCAATTCTAAAAGCGGCTTAGTAATGTAAGACGTGCATTTTTTTTAGGAAGTAAGGTGAGATTTCATCAAGTCCTGCCGACATTTTATTCGTCATACTGTGGATTACTTTAATCAGTTTGATCTCTGTTATTTCAAGCAAAACAAATGAGTCTTTTAAGCTAACTTTGTTATTACTAGTTTGTGGATGGGTTAAATATTTATCAAGTATAAGATTATTAACAGTTTCTACAAAGGTTTTGTTAAATATATTATAAGTCCTACTTGGGCTTGAGACTATTTGTTTTCCATCTGATAAGTATATATTTCTAGTCGGTCTATTATTTAGTGAACCTCTTTCACGATTTACAAATTTCCACAAAGCTTTTGGATTGTTTATTGATCTGTTTATAATATTATAAATGTGTTTTGCATTTGCAGTTTTTATAATTACATTATATTCCTTCTTATATGCTTTTTAAATGTTTTTATATTCCTGAATTTTACATTGTATATAAAGGTCATACAAATTTCTTAATTTTGTTTTAGCTATGACAACATCTTTATTTATCCAAGTAGACTTATTTACACATGCAATGTTTCATCTTACCTTAGGGCAAGCTATATTAAATTAGTAGTTAAAAATGCTATAAAAGGAGATCAATTTGTTCTCTGCATAATTTCACTAAACACCTCTGTCCAAATTTTAGTTTGTAATAAAGAGCAAAAGCCAATTATATTGTCACCTGATAAATCCCTAACCTCTTTATAACAACTTATTTGTGGTCCTGCTGTCATATTAATAGTTATACACTGTGCATAATGATATGAAAATAGGCTATATATAACATTAGTATAATAGCAATTAGTAGATATATTCATTCATTGATTCATTATTGGAGGGGGTGGGTTTCCCCATGCACTTAGACCAGTTATTGGTCCATTGTGCATCCCCATTTAATTTCTACTGTCTCCATACCCTACCGGTACTGGTGCTCGCTATCAGCCCCTTTCTGCCAGCAGGGTTTCGGCCTTCTACTGGCAGTGGTATCTGATAATTAGTCCCTTTCTGTCAGTGAGGTCGTCACTCTTCTGGCAGTGGTACCTAATGCTTCCCCATCTACCGGAGGCATTGGAAACTACTTGGGCGGGAAAATTTGCCTAATTTGGCTCAGAGGTCTCCTAGAGACATGAGGTTCTTTTATGTGCCGTAAATCTACGACACGGGACCCACAGCTTAAAGTCTCTCCCAGAGGACTTTAAGTCTCCAACAAGAATGATATATCGATCTTTCTGAACAAGCTGCTCCAATATATCTATTAGTAGGTTAAAAAATTCATATATTGCACCACTTGGTGATCTATATAATGCAATAATTATAATTTTGATCTTGTCACATGTTATTTCTATACCAGTAACCTCAAGAGTTTTTTCTGTACTTCTTCCTGTAACCCAATTCAAGGGTTTACTTTGCACCATGTTGCTGGTACTGTAAATAGCTATCCCTCCACCTTTGTATTTTTTCCTTAAAAAATATGGAACTACAGTATACACTTCTAACATACATTGAGGGATTTCATCCTCTTTGAGACCATGTTCAGAAATAGCTAGTATGTCAGGGGTAGTGCTTTGGAGAAATTCAGTAAATAGTTCAGTTTTGTTACCAAGATATTGAGCATTTTGATGTATTATTTTAAAATTATGCATTCACTTGACTTCCCCAATTGGGAATGACTGGAACCCATGGGATCCAGTCATCGTTATTAGTTTCCCCGATTTAAATCACCTAGAACTATTGCATTTGATTGGTTCTTTTTGTTATTACCTATTATTTTACTTATTTCTTGAGTAATATATTCTTTACCTGGTCTCTTGAGTTGCTGCCTATGCCTTGTGTGATAGTCTCTGCTTATATTACTTGTATCCAATACGTTTACATTTCTGAATCTTTTACACACCTTGTTTTTGTCCATATTTGCTCTCCTTATTTCCTTATTTACTACTGATTCTTTTATTAAATCATGCCTAGTCGGAATATTGAGAATATCATTTGTACAAGTCAGTGCTGAAAGTGTTCTTTTTACAATATTGATACAAGTCTTTGTTTCATTTCCAGCAATATCATTCGCACTACCCGTGATTATTGCATGGTCCTGTGGGTGAAGTTCTGCTCAATCTCTCACAGTTTTTCATAACATCTTCCACCTTAGCACCAGGCCTGACCTCACCAAACACTGAAACTTCATCATTGGATTTCCTCAGTGACGTAGGTATACCACGACCATAGCTATCACTATAGAACAACAATTTTTTCTTCTTTTTCACATTCTTCTTTTGACAACTAAGTATTTTCATTTGCAGAGTCTCATCAGTAACATCACTTAGGGTGCAGAATCCATTACTTGTTGAAACTGAAAACTGTGGAGTCATCTGTTTTCTTCTTCTCGATGATCCTTTAACTACCCGATTCCAACAATTTTCGTTTTCATAATGTACCACGTACTTCTTGCACTCTTTCACACTGTAAGATAGATAGTTCTGACAATGACGATATTTCCTATAACAACTTCTGGAGAACTTTGCAGTCAACATACTGCATAGTCGTAATCTCATTTTCCGGGGTATTTCATAGTGAGCATGAAGCACAAAGCCATTGATTATCAGGTATTTTGTCTTCATTTACATTGCTGCGCTTATTGAAATGATACCATTTATCACAATTATCACATAGAATGCCATTTCGTACTACTTTATTACACTTTCGACTCTTGTTGTCTACTGAAATGTTGCTTACAGCTGTTTGGCCACCACTTCCCACCATCATGATCAGTGTCTTACAGCCTTACATGATTTGAAGCTTTCACAGAGACAGTATGCAATGAAGTCTTCTCAGATAATTAGCCCTGTCAGTATGGAGTTAGTGTCCAACGTTTCAAAGACTGAATCTAACACCCAAAGTTAGAAACCAGGTTGAAGTTTTATTTCTGCCCATTTGCCCATCTTTAGTTTGATAAAACTGGACACTGAAAAAGCGTGATCAAATCTGGATACCATCCATAATTGTGCGACACAGAAGGGGTTTTAAACGTGTATTTAAAGGCTCTGTGGAATACACATAGTATTCAAGTTAGTAAATCTACATTACATGTGAATAGTTCCCAAGGACTTTTATCACCTTTCTCTGCTTCCATCATGTTGATTTGTGATATGTCACAGCCCCCAATCCTATTGTCTTTCGCTGACAGGACAAATGTTCCTTGCTAAGAGGGTATTCATGTTCTCTTGTGCTATGCCCCATTCTGTAATAGTATATGTGTATTGAAGGACACCAACCCTGGGTGACAGCTATCAGTGACTGATTTAATTTTACAAGAACTGTGTGTTAAAACTGGTACACCTAAGCATTCTTAGAAAACCCAACAGAAAGGAATAGGATAACTTGTTAAAAGAATGAATAAACTTTTCTAAAAAGTGTACTTAAATATTGTTTGGGCTGTCAGTTAATGTATTTAATGACATTCTAACCAGTGGTAACAAATGTTTTACCTTCTAAATACTTGTTGAAAGTTTCACTGAAGTTTTAAGAGGATAATGATTTTATATTAGGAGATTCTCTTGTGAACATGGCAGAGAACCTTCTGGTTTCATAAGGGGAGTGGGGGATATTTCTCAAGTAGCTGAGTGCCCATTAACTTTGCAAGGAGTGCTCTGCTCCGTGGAATTATGTTAATTGTGAAACATTTTGTTTTTGGTGGTGTAACACTGAAATCGTTGCCTACCCAGGAACTAGCAAGGTGAGCCATATGCTCCAGTCCGAGCAATAAGAGCAGACCTTCTGAGAGTATGGTGTAGATGTATTACTAATTACTGTTGCTTTGGCCAAGTTCATGGTAAGCATGAGAACAAGCGGATGAGATTGGCCCTGGTTTCGTTCTTTTGACACTTACATTGGAATTATGATGGCTACCTACCTACCTATCTACCTACCTATCACTCG